CGTCTTTAATCTTTCTTTGTATCACTTTTTCTCTTCCTTTCTGTCCTCTCTCTTTTCTCTCCTATTCTTTACCATCTCTCCTTCTTCCTTTTTTCGGCGGAATGGAACTGTTTTGTTTTTTCCTCTTTCCTTTTCTCCCCTTATCTCACCCTTCCTATTCCCTCCCCCCCTCATCCCTGCCTTTGCCCCTCTCTCTAGGAAGAATGCTTGGGGGAAGGAGGAGATTGATGGCCCATTAGAAAAAGATTAACAGGTGTGGGCTTGACTAGAGAAACAGATGTCAGGGAGGGGAGGAGGGCTGGAGAGAACAGGTAACCTTTTCCTTAAGAGAGATGCAAGCATGACTTTTAAAACATCAGTTGCGCCCTACAAGACAGTGAGAGAGCAGATGTGTGGACAGCACAGAGCAGGCTAATCCACCATTATACCCTGTCGTCTTTTTACATTCTTCATCCGCATTGACATAATCATTTGATTCATGCTGAAATTGGCGTCTCTGTTTAGCATATGGGCATCTCATTCCCTGCTAGTGTCATTACTGCCTGGCTTTGAGGTTATCTTCATCTCTCTCCTCCCCATGCTCTCTCTTTGTCTCTCTCCCTAGTTTTTCAGGACCCGTTTTGTTATTCAAATGTAATTATGGATGAAAATTGAGCCTCCCTGTTTTTTATTTTGATTTTAGAGAAACCAGCAGGGTATAAAATTCTGTGGCATGGGGAGAGCCTGCAATTTCCCCTTCCCCCAGCCAGAATGAAATCAAAGCCAGGTCCTAGTGAAGAAGGGGAAAGGTAGAGGTGCTGAGGAGAGAAAGGATTGAGTGAAGAAGTGGTTTTGGGTCAGCATGTGTCAAATACGATACAGGCACATGGATGGTTGGGGTTGGGGGGCTGGCTTCAGGAGCTGGAATGAAAGCTCAGTTAGAAAAGGACATGGAGGGGACAGTTGTGATGGGCTGGACGCCCTGGGATGTCACCTGGTATGCTGGGACACCACTGAGTCAGACTGTTCTGCCAGCCTGGGCCCCCTTTTACCTGGTCTTGCTGGGGTAGGCTCCCCAGCCTTTCCCAGCCAAGCACACAGGCAGGGCCACATCCAGCTGCACAGAGAGAGAGAGTCTGCTCTGGGAAGGCTCAGTTTAAAGGGCTTGCCACAGCACACAGATGTCCACCCCTTGCCCCCGCCTTGGAGTACAAACCCAAAATTATAAGAAATTCACCTCTTCTCTCAATGTGGCAGAGGGTATGCACAACTCCTCACCCCACCCCCCAGTTAGAAATCACATAAACTGGGTTATATTAGAAACCAGAAATAAATTTATTAACTATAATAGGTGTATTTTAAGTAGTTAAGGAGGTAGCAGACAGAACAAGGCAGATTACTAAGAAAATAAAAAAGAGCATGCAAACTAAGCTTAATACACTAAAGAAACTGGTTACATGTAAGTTCTTCCTAAATGTGGTTCTAATCTTCTTCACAGGCCAGATACCCTTCCAGCCTGAGTCCAGTTCTTTCTTTCCCCCAGTTCAGTCTTAGTTGTTTCCAGCAGTCATCTTGGGTGGCGTAGCAGGGGAGAACTGACTACCTGGATTACCTCACTCCCCACCCTTAAATAGGATTTGCATAAAGCACGAGTCCTTTGTTTCCCAGTTTGACACCCCTCCCCCCCCACCCCAGCTTCTTGTGGAAAAGTACAGAATTCAAGCTGGGTTCCAGTATCAGGTGACATGGTCACATGACTCTGTAGGGCCCCTGTAGCCATTCTTCAGAGGCTGACCCACAGGTTCACAGGAAGACTAAGCTCTTTTACAGTCCATTGTCACTTGCTGATGGGCCATCAGCACTCTCCAGGTTTTCATTGTTGTACCTCAAGTGTTAGCAGGGAGCGTCATGCAAAAGTAACATAGTTGAAATATAGATACATAGTCAATATTCCTAGCTTCAGATACAGAAATGATACAAGCATACAAATTGGATAATCACATTTAGTAAATGATAACCTTTCCAATGATATCTTACACGAGCCATCGTGCATAAAGTATATCTCAGTTATGTCATATTCATATCATAAGCATATTTTCATAAAGAAAAGGAGTACTTGTGGCACCTTAGAGACTAACCAATTTATTTGAGCATGAGCTTTCGTGAGCTACAGCTCACTTCATCGGATGCATACCGTGGAAACTGCAGCAGACTTTATATACACACAGAGAATATGAAACAATACCTCCTCCCACCCCACTGTCCTGCTGGTAATAGCTTATCTAAAGTGATCATCAGGTTGGGCCATTTCCAGCACAAATCCAGGTTTTCTCACCCTCCACCCCCCCCCACAAAGGAGAGTGAATTTGTGTGGGGGGGTGGAGGGTGAGAAAACCTGGATTTGTGCTGGAAATGGCCCAACCTGATGATCACTTTAGATAAGCTATTACCAGCAGGACAGTGGGGTGGGAGGAGGTATTGTTTCATATTCTCTGTGTGTATATAAAGTCTGCTGCAGTTTCCACGGTATGCATCCGATGAAGTGAGCTGTAGCTCACGAAAGCTCATGCTCAAATAAATTGGTTAGTCTCTAAGGTGCCACAAGTACTCCTTTTCTTTTTGCGAATACAGACTAACACGGCTGTTACTCTGAAATTTTCATAAAGAATATGCTTTGGGGTGGGTGACTGGCTTCAGTAACTGGAATGAGAGCTCAGTTAGAAAAGGACATGGAGGGTACGGTGACTTGGGAGCAGGCTCCAGTCCATTAATTTACTTGGGATAAGAACAATCAGAGTTGGATTCTTGTGCCTCCTGGAGTGGACTCTGGGTGCAGCCCATGGGAGGAGGCAGGAGGGAAAGAACCAGAACTGTATTACTGTGTGTGTGAGCGCCCCTCCCCCCAATGTACTGCTGGTACAGCCTGTGGGGAAGGGAGGAGACCCCATTATTTTCTTAATTTAAGTACCTTTCCTTTAAAAGGACAGTAACCCTGTCCTTGTCATCATCAATAAAAAGGTGAGTCAATGAGTCTCCTCCGCACAGGGCCCCATGGAGCAGTGCTCACTTCAGTGGAGAACATTTGCTTAGACCTGGATGCAGTCCCCGTCTCCTTTCCCAATGGGCTCCCCCGCCTGTCCTCTCTTATCACCACCAGGGGGCGCCAGCAGTCTCTCTGTCACTAATTTTGTGTTATGTCAGAAGTATGACCTGGCATTTATGGGTAGCTCAGCCCCACAGAGGAAAGAGGCCAAGTGGATCTGTGATGGACACCCAATGTGTAGGGGCCTGTGTACACCAGAGAGTGAATGCTGCTGCCCCCTAGAGGATAGAATGTATTAGGCTTGCTCATGTCAGTTCCCTCTAAGACTGGACTACGGGAGCTGCTCCTTTAGGGATGGAAGGGATGGGAGCGTGGGGGGAATCAGACTTCAGCTATGTAATCCTATCCTGGGCAGCTTGTACTGACATGTACACAAGGAGTCTGACTTTCCTTTCACGTTGGTGACACTTTTGTTGCTTGTCATGCCATTAAAGTCTCATTGAAGTATGTGTGACAGAGCAAAAGAGAAAGAGAGAGTCTGCCCCCTACTGACAGGAATGTGTCAGACATTGTTATGTTTATTTCCATTGCCCTTGCTGGCTAACCTAGTGGCGTTCCAACTCAGCCAGTGAGGGGAGCCAGTATACTCTCACACATATAAGTGAGTCCATTATAATCAACTGGGGGGAGGGCTCCTCCTCCGCTTCACAACACCACCACCCCCTCCCCCGGCCGTCCCTTTCTGAGAGAGGATGGAAAGAATATGTCATCAATAGTGACAGCACAGCCCCCAGCCATATAAACATCCACTTCATCATTGCTGAGCAAACAGGCTGGACCCCTTCCCAGCCTTGTCAGAGGGGCCTCCAAGAACTGAGCACAGCAAAGAAATATCCATTAATTCTGAAAACAAAAGGAGTAATTGAATTTGTTCAGGCTTGTTCAACTGATTGAGTCATTAAAGCTCTCTCTTTCTCTCTATCGCACACACACCACCCTTTGGCTGGAAGAAGCTGAATTACCTGTGGCAAAAGGTGTCACGGATTCAGTAGATGCAGATATCCTGGCCTGGACCAGTTATTTCCTTTTACTGACATATTTGCCCTGTTTTGTTTCTTGGGAATTTCTCCCATTGTCTCGCCAGTTTCCTCTTTCTTCCTCATTGTCCATTTCCCTCTGTTTCTTATTCCCTCTTGTTCTCTCTGTCCCTTGTTGTTAGACATTAACAGGCTACTCCTCATTGCTGATGTGTTATTCATGCACTCTGATATTCCCCTGGGTAATTACTTAGACCACTGCAAAGAGAAAGGTATGAGAAAAGATTGCTAGAGCAGGCCCAGCAAATGAATTCTGGCAAGGAAAAGGATGGGGGGAGGGGAGAAAGGAGAATGGGGTAGAAAAGAGAGAAAACAAGGGACCAAAGGACAGATGTGTGGAAAGAGAAAGGAAAGGGGGCAGGGAGAAGGTTGGGAGGTAGGGTTGGGAGCTTGCTGGGGAGGGACTGTGTAAACACAAAGGAGAAAGAGAACACTGAGGTCTGGTCTACATGAGAAAATTAGGTCGTCATAACTACGTCACTAAGGAGTGTGGAAAAATCCACACCCTTGAGCCGTTTAGTTAAGCTGACTTAAGTCCCCCAGCACTAGATGGATAGAAAAATTCTTCTGTCAAGCTAGCTGCTGCCTCTCAGGGAGGTAGAGTTCCTACGTGAAGGCAAAACCCCTCCCGTCAGCATAGGTAGTGTCTAACTGAGGTGACACAGCAACACAGCTGTGTCACTGTTGCATTTTAAGTATAAAAAAGCCCAAAGATGGCACCATTGGTCCCCTCTGTAATCAGCTCTACCGTCCTTCCCATTTCCCGCATGACTCCCATCCATGCACAACTGTGTGTCGTACAAGAACGGTATCCTTTGATTTCTGAGGTGACATTTTCAGATCTTGCCCAAGTCTGATCCTTGCTTTTGCCGCTCCTGCAGCCAGAAGAACTGACCAACATCTTGGAGATCAGCAATGTTGTGTTCACCAGCATGTTTGCCCTGGAGATGATCCTGAAACTCGCCGCCTTTGGCCTCTTTGATTACCTCCGCAATCCCTACAACATCTTCGACAGCATCATTGTCATCATCAGGTGATGACCCCAAAATAGGGAGACCAGGCTGGGGATACTGAGGTGCAGATACAGAGAGGCAGATCAGTGCCTGAACTGGGTTGCTGTGCCATTTCTGCTTCAGCTTTTTAATAAGTTACAATCTGAGGGAAAGCATGCTTAATGCACAAAGCAAAGAATCGGGAGCTCTAGATTTTATTCCCAGCTCGAACACTGACTCACTGACCTTGGGCAAGTCACATAACCTTTCTGTCCTCCGTTTCCCCCTCTGTAAAATGGGGATAATAATAGTTATCTACCTCAGAAGTTTGTGAGGCTTAATTAGTTGGTGCATGTAAAGCATTTTGAGGTACTTGGATGAAACATGCTGTAGAAGTGCAAAGTATTATAAAGGAGCTTTCCCCCGTAGGTCCTTATGATACAGCATTTGAACACGCCCCAGTAGCTGAGCAGCTCTTCAATTTTCCCCAGCAAGAAATGCAGTTTTACAGACATATACATACAAAATGTACACTGCATACACATACCTGATTCAGATTCTCTTTTACACCCAGATTTTTTTGCACACGCATATGCACACCCTACCAACACACACACTTGATTCACACAGAATTCTCTTTTACACTGTCTCAGTTCACACAGATTCTCTCTTTTACACACACAGACGCTGCATTGGTGAAAGAGTTCTCTCTCCCTCTCTCACTACCTCCGTCCTGTTTTTCTACCGCTCTCTTTCTTTGTCCCTTTCCGTCTGCATCTCTCCTTGTCCAACTTTCTCTCTCCTCCTTGTCTCTCTGGGCCACAGCATATGGGAGATCATTGGCCAGTCAGATGGGGGGCTGTCAGTGCTGAGAACTTTCCGCCTCCTGCGGGTGCTGAAGCTCGTACGTTTCATGCCTGCTCTGCGACGCCAGCTGGTGGTCCTGATGAAGACCATGGACAATGTGGCCACCTTCTGTATGCTCCTTATGCTCTTCATCTTTATCTTCAGGTGAGGAGGTGTTGTCTTCAGAGCAATTTGAGGAGACATCACAGGGCATATACAAACCCTGGCGCCAATCTCTTTGTGACTCATCCTGCCCAAGTCTTTACTTTAGACATCAAGAGGAACTTGGTTAGTTCTCAGAGACAGATCCTCAGCTGGTGTAAATTGACTGTATCAGCTGAGGATCTGGCCCTCAGGTGTTCACAAGTAGAGGCTTGATGGGGGTTGAGAAACTTTGCCAGCCAGGGAGTCTGCTGATCTGGGTTTCCATTAGAAAGGGCGAATTCTGTCAGTGACCCGTTGTTCACTTCAGGGAACAGTCTGACTCCTCCCTTTCCCCCTCACTAATTATTACAGAAGTGTGGTGTGGAGCACCTGGCAGTATTTCACAGCACACCATGCAGATAAGCTAGAAGTGGGTGGAAACAGGGAATGGAACAAGAGAGAATGGTGGAGTTAGCGGCCATGGGGGCAGGACTGGATGGAGTGGCCAGAAGCTGGGGTTCTTGATGCGTATGGTGGTGCAGGGGGAAGGAGAGGGTGCACGAGGAGATACAGGCTGATCAGTGTTTTGCCTTATTCACCGGTAGATCTTGATGGGTTAGGTATATTTTTATATCCCTTACTCTGGTGACAAGTGGCAGCAGGTTGGATTGTGAAAGAAAAAAGGGGAACTGCTCTAACAAGCTCATTTTGGTGGCAGAGATATTTAAATTGGACACCGTCTCCTCTTCCCCACCCAACAGCATCCTGGGAATGCACATCTTTGGGTGCAAATTCAGCCTCCGGACAGACACCGGAGACACAGTCCCTGACCGGAAGAACTTTGATTCGCTGCTCTGGGCCATCGTCACTGTGTTCCAGGTGAGTCAACACAGCTTCCATGGGCAGGCCAGACAATGGGATTGGAGGGGGATCTCAAAGTGAATTGGGTCAGGAATTAGTTGTAGGTTTGTACAATTGAATGTTACACTCATTCCTGATGACACAAAAACCAATCCACGAGGCTCCAGCATGTGATCCTGAGAGAGGAGCGACGGACACATGCTGTATAATCAAGCAGCTGACATCTTGGCGACCTCCAAGAAGCAAGGAGACAATGGAAGGATGCGGCATTTAGAAAGGTCAAAGCTGTTGGGACAACTCCTGTGTTTAGTGTTGTCACCGTAGCGTGCACACTATGCTTGTGTGTGTCTGTCTCTCCCCATTCGCCTGAGGTCTCTTGAGCTATTGCCATGGAGACAGCGTGAGAGATGGACCATGTTCACTAATGGCAGTCATTAGGCACCTGGGGTGGGATGTTGAGAGAAGATGGGGGAGCCTCACTCTGCAATAGGCATGTGGTGGTTAGATGATTTTCCTCTCACTGCTCATTAATGCAGCCTCCTTCCTCTATAATCCCTTCCACTCTCATTTTGCTCCAGGGGGCTCACACAGCCTCTCTTCTGTCTTGCAGATCCTGACCCAGGAGGACTGGAACGTCGTGCTGTATAATGGCATGGCCTCCACCTCACCGTGGGCATCCCTTTACTTTGTGGCCCTCATGACCTTTGGCAACTATGTCCTCTTCAATCTGCTGGTGGCTATCCTGGTGGAGGGCTTCCAGGCTGAGGTGAGTTGCCACTCCATGGAGGTGAGGAGCAGATGAGGGAGACGGCCTAAGGGGAAGACACCCTTTCCTGGGGGTGTCAAACCACTGATATGGAGGAGGGAACCTGCAAAGGTGACTCAGTCTCCCTCCATTGGCCAGGAGTTCAGCAACTAAGCACTTGCAGACCACACAGGGATTCCTCTATCGTCTGTAGCAATGGACAATCAGAGGGAGCAGAATCCCTTCCCCTGGGGGGCTCATGAGTCACAGACCTTTGCATTGATTTTTCTATTCCAGGGTGATGCCAACCGGTCGTACTCAGACGAAGATCAGAGTTCATCAAACATGGAGGACTTTGACAAGTTCCAGGACAGCCAGGATGTCTCAGGTCAGTGGATTCTCCCACCTCGTTTGCTTTTGTCCTACCAGCAGCTGGGTGAAAAATGTAAATGTGCAAATCTCCCTAAAATCTCATTCCTCTTTCCAAGATGGGACCAGAATGCTTTGGTCCTGACTAAAGCACTTTCATGGCAATGCAGTTTTATGCAGTTTTGTTTGTTTTAAAGTCACTGTCAGCTTGCAATGTCACTTGCAAAAATTAGAGCTATGGCAAAATTCTGTAATGCTGTAGCTAAGGCAAATGTGATCCTTGGATAGCGAAGCAGATCAGAGATATTGCATCAAGTAGGAGCAGGGAGGCATTACTACATCTGCATACAGCATTGGTGAGACCATTGCTGGAATTCTGTGTCCAGTTCTGGTGTCTACACTTAAATTGGAAAGGATTCAGAGAAGAGCTACAAGAATGATATGAGGTCTAGAAAACTTGCCTCATAATGAGAAAGAAAGTAATCTAAATGATTTAATTTATCCAAGAGAAGGTTAAGAGGTGACTTGATCATGGTCTACAAGTACCTACAGGGGGAAAAGATTTCTCATGGTAAATGGCTCTTTAATCTAGCAGAAAAAGGCATAATGAGATCCAATGGGTGGAAGCTGAAGCTGTGGACAAATTCAGACTAGAAATAAGGGGCACATTTCTAACAGTGAGGATAATTAGTCCTTAGCATAGGCGCCGACTGCATGGGTGCTCTGGGGCTGGAGCATCCACCAGGCAGAGGGGAAGTTGGCGCCTATGATGGCCTGCATTATACAGGGGGTCAGACTAGGCTATGAGAATGGTCCCTTCTGGCCTTAATATCTATGAATGTAATAGAAAAGAGCAGCATATTTATTATTAAGAATATTTTGATTTCTTCTTTCTCCCATCTGTGCCTCTCCCTGGCACCCCGCAGGAGCAAATTAAAGCAGGTTTGCTGGATCCTTAGGATCTGTGAGCAGTGAGGGGGCCCAGTGCAGCAGTGAGTCAGTGAGAATTCAAAGCAGACTGGGAGGAGGAGTGTGTGCATGGGAATTTGGAGAAAGATAAAGGATTTCCAAGGAGGCCACAAAGTTTTGGTGGATCTGGGCCCCAATGAGTCTCAATCTGCCCGTCAGTATTTCAGCCCAACAAACTGATCTGAGAAAAACAGGGAACATGCCTAAAATATTCAATGGCTGCTGGTCTCACAGTTGTAGCGTTTGTTTCAGATGTGTGGATGACTGCCCCCTAATTCTAGCAAGTGGGGACACTGTCTCCCTCATGTGCTCCCAGGCAAGAGCCTTGCAGCATGAGTCTGCAGGGAGAGCTATCTGATTGGCTCGCCAATGGCTTTGCCTGGCCTTAAGCAGAGCTCTCTTGTAGGCACACTCCCTGCTCTGGGTCCATTAGAGCAAAGGAGGCTGAGCAAGTGGACTCAGCTAAGTGAAAGCTGTTGTGTGAAACACCCTTCCCCCTCCAAAGCCAGAAGAGAGGGAATGCTGCCAGCACTTCTCAAAGGGGCAGGGAAAAGTGACAAGGAAGAGAAGATGACATGGGGTGGGTAGAAAGAAAGACAAGTTGCATCATCACTTGTGTTCTTTGGCACCCCACCTCACCTCCTAGAGGGGTGCCCATGGAGGGACAGACGTAGTTGAAAGGACTTTAGGGAATCAGTGCACCTAGTGCTTGGGAGAGAGGCCATGGCCTCAAGTCTGTCACTGTCCTGACCCACCCTTTGCATACAACCCAAAGGCACCAGGAAGCAGTGTTGGGTTCTAACAGGGCTAAGCAAACAGAACATTAAAACAGTCACTGAATGGTGCATGAGGAAACCGCAGAAGGGAAAGGAATGTCTTCTTCTCTCTTTCTTTCTCTCTCTGTGTTTTTCTGCTCAGATCCCAGGCTCTGTGCAATTCCCATGACCCCAAATGGACACCTTGACCCCAGCCTACCTTCTTCCAACCAGCCAGTGGCAGCTGGTGGGGTCACAAGTTCTGCCCGGAATTCCCTGCAGCCAGACCAGATCCTCATTGCCTTGGGTTCCAGGAAGAGCAGTGTGATGTCACTGGGGAGAATGACCTACGACCAGAGGTCACTGGTGAGTGAGTAGAACCATGAGTAACATACTTCTTCTGAAACCCAGGGGATCCATTGTCTCAGTGCCATCATCTTGGAATTCCATTGGGGTTCTACCCCTACTGGAAACTTACTAACAGAAGCTTGTTGCCTGGCCCCATTTAGCCTGAGGTGGTCGCCATTTCCAGTTTTTCGATCCATATTCCACTATGACTGGGTGTAAGATTCAAGTGCCTTGTTATCTCCTCTGGAGTCTTCCCTCCAGAATGAAATGTGCATTGACCTCTGAGCCCTCCACCGCAGTTCTGGAGCACAGAGCTTGGAATTATGGTGCCCTGCCTCCTCGGTAACATAAAAAACACATGGAGAACTTCTGCCATTAGGAAAGGATGGTTAATATCAGACCTAACAGGTCCTCTACCTGGAGAAGTTTCTGGAGCCCTTAGTTCAGGTGAAAATCAAAACCTTGACCTGCAGCACCCTTTCCTGTCCTAGGCCTGCCACCTCTGTCTATTCCTCCAGACTACCGTCACTCTCAGTTCTGCCAGTGCACTTCGATCCTGTCCTCTAGCAGCCCTGTTAGTTCAGTGCTTGGGCACTTCAACCACCAACACACACAGCTTTACTGGTGCACTTCAATCCTGATGTGCGGCATACCCTGCTATCCCAGTCCTTTGTTTCTCGTGAGCAGAGATGGCTGCTGGTAACAATTGGTGTTGAGATTTGGTGATGTGGAGGACTAGGCTGAGACCCTCAAACCCATATCTCTTGCTTTCTCCTCTCATTTGGATTGTAAGCTCTTTGAGGCAAAGACTATGGGCTGGATTTATCCATCACCCTGTTCCCTGTGCACCAGTGCAAAGCAAGTGCAAAATGCTACCAACCTGATTTTGTAGGGCTTTAGCCCCACTTTCCATTGGTGTAAATGACTACACGAGCCCTTTGCTTTCTAACTTACCTTATGTGTAAAGTGCCTGGCACACAGCTGGGGCTATAAAATAAATATGACAGTGACCAATTAAGAAATATTAATTAATAATAATAATAATTAATTTGATGCCAGATTTACAGAGGTCACCTTTGACTTCACAAAATGCCTCTCCTGGAGGGGTGGGAGAGCAGGGTTTTGTAATCTTGTATTAGGAGATTTAGGGTCCCCAGAGGTGAGTCTTTGATCTAACCCATCTTCCCCATGACCCGAGTCACTGAATCCCTGTCTTCCTCTCTTACAGTCTAGCTCTCGCAGTTCTCACTATGGTGCATGGGGCCGCAGCGGGGCCTGGGGGAGCCGCCGCTCCAGCTGGAACAGCCTGGCTCGGGGACACAGCCTAAAACACAAACCTCCATCTGCCGAGCATGAATCTCTGCTGTCTGTGGAAAGGCACAGGGTGGCGGATGGAGAACGAGAGGGGATGGGAAGGGCCCCTCATCACCGGCGGACGCTCTCGCTGGACATCAAAGATTCCTGTGACCTGGTGGAGCTGACGTCATCAGTCCCATCCAGTCACAGGGCAGCACGGAAGGTGGGTGTGGCTCTGGGCACCAGCGAGCACCAGGACTGTAACGGCAAAATGCCCAATATCGCTAAGGAGATTTTCCCAAAGATGGACGACCGCAAGGAACATGGAGAGGACGAGGAGGAGATAGACTATGTGAGTACAGGGGGCTTCACCAGAGGAGCACCAAGGGCTTACAAGGGGGACAGCAATCACAAGAGATGGGAGGTGAGTTGTGCCAGCCTGGGAGACGTCCGTGCTCAAGGCAAGATCAGATCACAGAATCCCTATGGGCTAGCCTGAGGTCTCTCGGAGCCTCAAGCAGAAGAAGACCAGAGTGCTGCTTCTTAGCCAGCCTCCAAGGCTCCGAGGCCCAAAACTGAAGAGATTACTGTGACACTCCAGTGGGGTCAGGGTCAATGGATATTTTAGCAGAAGTTTTCACTGTATAAAATGACATCACTAGGACTTCACTTAGGAGGAAAGATGCCAGTAGATGCCCATTCTGCCTTAGGCTCATTGGCTAGGCTGTGGGCCCAGTACTCTGTCTCCACTGTCCCTGAGGTTCGCGGGTAGTGCTGATACAAAGATCCAGTGTGCAACGGGCAGCATCAGTGTCAGCGTTCCACAGCAGAGTACAGGCTAGCATCAGGTTCAGTTTTAAGGAGTCAGAAGTGAAGCTTGATACTCTTCCTTCTGGGAGGAAAACAGGCTTATGGAATGGCAGGCCCAATGAATTTTCCACCCACCTCATCGCTCCCCCTGTGACTATGACATCAGCTCCTTTCCTCATGTGGGGTTGGGGCGGAGAGGGTAGAGAGAGGAGGATCTGGAGAGGCAATGTATCCAAGTTACTGGTATTTTAGGTTTAAAGAAAAAGGACAGAATGGACTTCTCAGTGAAGTGGGGAGGTGGCCAGTGACAACCCAGTCCCTTGTGTCCTGCAGAGCCTGTGTTTCCGCATCCGGAAGATGATGGACGTATATAAGCCAGACTGGTGTGAGATACGGGAGGATTGGTCCATCTACCTCTTCTCTCCACAAAACAGGTTCGCCCCAATTTTGTTGGTGGAGAGGTGGTTTAGTATAATCCTGTTGCAGCAGCCATGTACATGGGTTGGATGCTGAGCCTGCAGTTTTAAACTTTCAAAGATGGGAATGATTTTGTTGCTTCCAGTCACAGCCTCTCCACCCAACTCTTGTTTGGTCCCTGAGGTGGGGGTAGAGAAGGGGAATCCTGAAAGGCTACTGTTGTTTTCCTTCCGGGGAATGCTCTGTTTTTCCTCAGTGTATCTTAAGGCAAGGCAGAGAATACTAATTCTGACCAAAAAAGATGATGAATGTATTCTTAACTTATCTGTGCCATTGGCAATGTCTCTGGTGGCACAAGAGTGGCCTGCATTGCATTAGAGGCCACAAAGTTGACTTATTAGCAATCCAATCACACTTTGTTTGGGCAAAGTTAGTATTCTCTGCACTTACCAAAATAAATATTAGAAGAACTCCTCCTTCCACCAGGAGGAAACAGTGTTTATCACCAACCATCAGCATGCTATACCACAGGGTAACAGCTCATGGAAACAAGAGGGTTTCATCATAACTGCTGGAAGATTAATCTTGGCTGCACGTGCTGATCTCCTACCTATTGTACTGGTTATGGCGGCTTTTAGAGAAGCTGGAGGGCAAAAGAACTAGTCATCTATTTTCATGGCAGTTATTCCTCATCAGCTGGCAGCACAAGGGAGTTTGATGCCTAGAACACTCTGGTAATCCCAGCACAGACATATCATGATAGGAAATTTTAAGTTGGGGGAGAGGGGGTGGGTTAAAGATTGTGACTCATCATCACCCTGTGAGAGCAGAGCTTAGAGAGGAAGGGTGGTGTGGTGCTTTGGGCATTTCTCTGGGGCTTGGGAGACTGAGGTTCAATTCCTTGCTCCAACACAGATTTCCTCTGTGACTTTGGGTAAGTCACTTAGCCTCCCTGTGCCTTAGCTCCCCATCTGTAAAATGGGGATAACAGCTCTGCCCTACCTCACAGGGGTGTTGTGAGGAGAAAGAAATAAAAGTACTGTGGTGATGGGGGGGCATATAAACAACTAGAATAGACAGACAGCGCTTCGGGGATAAGGTCCTTACAAATGTAGGTGGTTTCTCAGGAGGAGCTCTTTAGAGAATTATTATTACTTGCATTGAGGTTAGCCCAGGCATGGAGCAGGACCCTGTTGTGCTAGGTGCTGTACAAACACCAAACAAAAAGACAGTTCCTCCCTGAACAAATATGTGTCCTTTCCAGTCTGGTAATGTGCACAACAGGGCAGCTGATTTTACACTAGAGAATGTTACAATTCAGGCAGAACTCTCTTTCTCCATCCCCCGCCATACCCAATTTAATTTCACCCCAGGCACATGGGTCCTTTTGGAACTCTCTTGCAGGTTCCGCATCCTCTGCCAAACCATCATTGCTCACAAGCTCTTTGACTATGTTGTTCTGGCCTTCATCTTCCTGAACTGCATCACCATTGCCCTGGAGAGACCGCAGATCGAGCATCGGAGCACGGTGAGCAAACTTGCACCCTCAACCTTTTTTGGCTGAACACAACCCCTGAACAGGTGTGGTGGACAAAGTTCAGTAATTCTCTGGGCATTGCATAGGCTCTGGATAAGCCCCAGTGCTGGAGAGTAACCCCCATCCCCCAAATACACACACCCCCCCTCCATGATTTCTCTCTATGGAATAAGAGGCCTGCTTGCCTCCCTTCCAAGGCCTTAAAATAGTATAATCCTTCTTTCTCAGGAGTAGCTTCCTATATCATGGAAGGCAGAAGGGTCCTCCAGGCCCTCACAGTTGGGAGGTGGCTTGCCAATGGGAGTCAAATAACTAGGGACCATGAAACTAAAAGAGGGTGGTAACCTGGCTATGTAGCAGTGTGCCCGTGGGAATGGCATGCTAGGATTCAAGTGTGCTGTTTCTGCATTGGCTTTGAATGTGGATCTGGGTGCTGTGGTTGGGGAGAGGCTGGTCTGCTTCAGTGGGTGAATATATTCTCGGTTCTCCTCAATTCATTCTTAACAGAGGTCACAGCTGAAATGGCTTTTTGAGTGTCTCTGCTGAGTCCACATCGCCAAATGACACCACAGTTAGGTGAAGTCTGGGCTCAGGAGAGGTCCAAGAGTGGGGTGACAGGGCTGGGCTGCCAGTCAGCATTGTGTTGCATTGCCAGGTGATGAAAGTCTCCATAGCTGGATTAGCAGCAGATGCTGCAGATCACAATTACAGTGCATTAGTGAGCTGTGTGGGAGTTGCAAGACTGGAGTAACAGGGAACACTGAAGGTCAGGACCGAGGTGCATTAGCTGAGCCGGGCGAGATGAAGGTTGTTCAGCATGTGCCCTTGGCTGTAGCCAGTGCTCTCACTCCCACCTTCACAAGACAGTGAAATTTGTCAAGTTCATAACAAAGGATTTAGTAAACTCACAGAAGTGTGGAAATGTCTCTCAGTGTTTTAGGGGCTTTTTTCTGTTCTTTCTAGGAGAGGATCTTTCTCACCGTATCCAACTACATTTTCACGGCAATCTTCGTAGCTGAGATGACACTAAAGGTAAGTCACCTGGAGACAGTCAGCCTTTTCCCATGTGTCATGGGCCCAACACATCTGCCCTCTACTTGTCATCTTTCCTCAGTCCATCCATCCTTTCAGTCTTCCAGGGAGGTCCACCCACACCTCATGAACTCTGTCATGGTAGGGGCATGTCCAACCATTGGGTTTGAATCTCATTTTCAGATTTGGATGCATGAAATTAAACACTTTTTAGACATCTAAACAAGGAGCCTGGTTTTCAGAGGTGATGAGCATTCACCATTTCCACTGACTTCGGTAGCATCTTCTGGTGTTCAGCAGCTCTGAAAAGCAAACTACTTATTTAAGTGTCTGAATATGGATTTAGGTGCTTAATTTTACATACTCAAGTTTGAAAAATTTGGATTAAGTGATTTACATAAAGTCACCAGAAGAGCATGGATGAGAGCCCCTGTCTTCTGACTGCATGCACCTTGTCTTATCCTCTATACATCACCATCTCCCTCCAGTGCGGTAGTGCTCGGGGGAGTGGAGGAGATATTGGTTGAGAGGTGAGAGGACTTCATCAAGGCTTTGGTGGGTCTTTATTGTTTTTTCTAGAACATTTTCACTCCAGCATTTGATTTCTGAGCCTCCATTTTTACTTCACAGACTGTGGGTCTTTTCTGAGAAAGCAGATGAGTATCAATGTCATGGAAGGGTGAAAGATGGGTCATCATTGCTTCTTCACCTGTTGCTATCGAGTTATTAAGTACCTTCCCTCTGGATGGTGGAGAGTTTAACTCCCCATGCTCTCCCCCCTCCTGTCCTGTAGGTGGTCTCTCTAGGCCTATATTTTGGGGAGCAGGCCTATCTCCGCAGCAGCTGGAACATCCTAGATGGCTTCTTGGTCTTTGTGTCCCTCATTGACATTGTGGTCTCAGTGGCCTCTGCTGGAGGAGCTAAAATTCTGGGGGTGCTCCGGGTCCTCCGACTGCTGCGCACATTACGTCCTCTCAGGTGAGAACCCCATGGGCAAATTCCTAGTCTTCCATCCTCTCTCTCACTCTGTCCCTTCCTCTATCCAGCCAGGAATGGCTCCCACACAGTGCCAGTATTAGAACATGCTTTATGGAGAGACAGGGCATTGGCCAAGACCCCCAGGTTAACCCCTCACACACACACACACACACACACCTTAGCGTCCTGTTGGGCTGTGCATCAGAAAAGGGCTGATGGAACATCCTACTAGGGATGAGAATGTTGTGTAGTGTCCTCTCCACGGGGATGTTTCTCTTAACTGTGCAGCTTCTCCTCCAGCCCCTAAGGTAGTCACTCCAATATCCTCATTAGGTAACGTGCCCAAGTCCTGCTGTGAGGGACTCAAACCCACAGCATTCAGGCCTAAGGGAGAGCACGCTGTCCACTGGATGATAGCTGCACCATGATATCTGGGGTGCTACTGTTGTCTGATTCTGAAAACACAGGGGAAGAAAGAACTCTGCCATCTCTCTGTGTCACCCCCTCATGCTCCATCCCTTCCAGGGTCATCAGCCGTGCCCCAGGCCTGAAGCTGGTGGTGGAGACACTCATCTCATCCCTCAAACCCATTGGGAACATTGTCCTCATTTGCTGTGCCTTCTTCATCATCTTTGGCATCCTGGGTGTGCAGGTAGGGTTGTTGTTGTCTATCAAGCACCCACAACGTGCTCGGCACTGTACTGCCATGTAGGAAACATAATGTAGACACAATTAAGCAGATGGAGTTGTGGCGGGGGGCGCAGGGAGGGGGGGGAGTGGGCCAGGCATCCCAGGACACCTTCCTGATCCTCTGCCCTGCTCTGTCCTCCTTTATGTAGTTCTCATCATAATGATTCTTAAGCCTTTGGCAGTGGCAGGTAGGGTCAGTGCTGAAGTCTTTCAACAGTAGAGACTGATATTCAGATCATGGTGTTAGCAGAGCTGAAGAGAAGGCCCAGGAGTGGAGAAGCAGCTGGGCGTGCTGCAGGTCATGACTCTGATGCAGTGACAGAGCAGTGTCAGTTGGGGCAGCCGCACAGGGGCCTGCGTGATGCCTGGCTCTAGGCAGTTCTTTCTCTCCCCTTTGTTCCAAGCGCTAAATCCACACACAATGTGGCATGTGTCAGGGAGGGGAGGGGGGGACGGAGGCAAGCAGGGGGGAAGTTAATCCTCCCTATTTTAGGCTTGTGCTGCAGAGGAGTGCTGGAGTGGGTGTTACTTCCGTCTCAGAGAATGTGCGATACTTAGTCTGTATGCAGACTGTTCTGATGAGCCTGTACAAATGCACAATCCAGTACCCTCCATATGGAAAAGGAGCCTGGGGCAGAAGAACCGCATCAGTGTTCCTTTATTTAAAAGTATCGGTGAAGTAGGCAATATTTTTCTGGGTCTTTGCTCTCACAAGAGATCTTTTTCCCTTCAGTACACCTAGCAGCCATCTGAGGGAGTGGATGGCTCTGGGGGATTGGGCATGGGGTGTTTCATATCTAGATCATTGGTTCCAATCCAGCCCCAGCAGGCCACTACATGGCTGTCAGAGTGGGAGGACTTTCAGTCACTACTGACCCAGGGCAAGATTATAATCGGTGACAGAGAGGCGAAAGGCTCCATGTCCGCTCCTAATCTGAGGAGCTTCCTATTGCTCTTTGTCCCCTGACACTGAGGAAGTCTGAGTGAGACTCACTGACCAAGTCGCTTCCATCTTATAGCTCTTCAAGGGGAAGTTCTACCACTGCCTTGGGATTGACATCCGTAACATCACCAACAGGTCTGACTGTATGGCCGCCAATTACAAATGGGTACACCAAAAGTACAACTTTGACAACCTTGGACAGGTATGTGCAGGACCCTCCAAGCCCCCTCCTCTCACGTGAACCTGGGCTGTGCTTTGCCCCTTTGGGTGTCTCCCACCAAAGCCACACTCACTCATTTCGAGGGGAAGGGTGGAGTGTTCCAAAACATACTCTGAGCCAGAGGAGGCAGTCATGTGAACAGGGGGTGGGGGTGGAGGCTGGTTAGACATGGGTGTCCAGGTTAAAGCAGAGTAACTCGTGTAAGGATGCAGCTTCCATGCTGAAGAGGGGGGAAAGGGGGATGTAACAGCTCAAGCAACTCACATGAGTGTAAGCTAAAGGCAGGGGATGGGGGGCGGGGGGCTGCTTTTCCTTACACTCTCCTAGGTGTGCCTCTTCTGACTAGCCCCTGACCTCCCTCAACATGTAACACCCGGTTCCTGACCCATGCTTAGGGGTGAATCCTGCTTTCACTTGCACAGGAGCACCTTCCATTGGCATTGCATGTAAATGATTGCAGCTTTGAGCCCTTACGGCCTGATTCTCTGAGCAGGGTGTGACTCAAGGGTAACTCGCTGAGGTCAGTGCAGTTAAAAAACAGTGAAAGGAGAATCAGGCCCTTCATAAGCAATTTACACCCCCGTTTACATCGCCGAGGAGTTGGGCCAATGGTGTCTGTGCAATCTGCGTGTCTGCAGTCCCCTTAGGCACCACCAAGGAAACGGATTGGCAGAATCCTCCCTTCCTCTCTGCAGCCTCCCTACCAGTCCTGTCAGTGGAGCGCTGCCTTCTAAGGCAAGGGGCCACTCCAGGCTCTTTGGTTTCTGAGCTAAGGCCCATGCATGCAAGTAGGGAGGCTTCCTCAAAGGCAGGGGTGGCCGGTGGGTGTTTTCTGATTGTGTTGGCCAGATCTGCCATGGCTCTTGTAGATTTCGCCATGTCTCTAGCCTTTATATATTTTCACAGTCAAGCAGCAGGCCTGTCGTCCTGAGGTTTTCTGTGTTTTAATTCATCTGCCTGATGCAGTTGTTGCTGAGTTCATTTGTCCCTGGGGAGGGGAAACCTTTTACTCTGGTGCTTCCACAGGGCAGACTTGCATAATGGTCCCTCTCTGCTGGCAGCTCCCCTCCCTCTCCCATCTGTTAGTAGTTATGCAGATGACAAGTGCTTGGAGGATGACACCTTGAGTTTTAATTATGTTTTGTGCCTAAGAACTTAAAACCTGAACCATCCCAACCCTACCGCACACAGATGCTGTGTGTCTGACGTGTTTCTCTTGTGTTCCAGGCCCTGATGTCCCTCTTCGTTCTGGCCTCCAAAGATGGTTGGGTCAATATTATGTATAACGGACTAGATGCTGTGGCTGTTGACCAGCAGGTATAGAGAGTTCCTTCGAAACTGATCATGCCATCTAGACCTCCTTCAGGCAGGAAGGTGGAAGCATGCTGTATCAGCCAGCTTTTGGTACTTCCTCTCCACCCAATAGCATTTTATAGCATTGCTCAACCCTGTCCATCTGCGAGCCCCTTCTCTTCACTTTCGTTATTACTGGTGGGTCAGTGCCGTGGTTCTGCATACGCAGGGAAGCGTGTTTGGAAGTGATTAGCCTGATGTAGCTGGGGAAGTTATGCAGGCTGGGTCTTTATGTATCCTGTGATACCTTTGAAGCAGCAGTCACCCATGTCTTTCTCGACATGGTGCATCCACCAGATTTACAGTTGGTTCCTCTAATTGCTTATAAATTGGGATCCTCTGTCCCTGCAACTAAGTCCCAATGGTATCCAAAACTCACATTGACTTGAGTAATGCAGGGTCAGGCCCCTGGCAAAGGTTGCAGCGACAGAGGACTGAATGGCAGTGAGGATACTATCCTTACCCTCTGTTCTCAGCACTAGAAGTGCTGTTGGTCTTTTAAAACCCTCAGTGGTGAGAAACCTAGAAACAGTAATGAGAAACTTTTCTATTTGATCCTGAATGACACCTGCTTTCAGGCACCCCTCACCTTTCAGGAGTTCCCCCATTGCACCTTAGAGGTGTGATTTACCTACCCTCAGCCCAACACACCTTTTCTTCAGGTATCTTTAGTGTCTGTCATATTCTCTGATGTTTTAATTGTCCATTTGATCTGTTGTGATTATATTGGAATTGTAGGTGCAGCATCCTGAGTGCTTTATTATTATTATAAACTTCTCCTTGACTTCCAGACACCCAGACTATTTGTTGCTCCTACCTTCATTTTCATAATCCTTTCCCAACCAGCCAATCACAATCTGTTGATCTCCCTCATTTTCACAATCCTGCCACTTCCAGCCAATCACAACCTGCTGCTCTCCTTCATTTTCATAACCCCACCTCTGACTCCCAGTCAGCCAATCACAGCCTTTCTTTTCTTTTCTTCCCAGCCAGTGACCAACAACAACCCCTGGATGCTCCTTTACTTCATCTCATTCCTCCTCATCGTCAGCTTCTTCGTTCTCAACATGTTCGTGGGGGTGGTGGTGGAGAACTTCCACAAGTGCCGGCAGCATCAGGAGGCAGAGGAGGCACGCCGGCGGGAGGAAAAGCGCCTCAGGCGCCTGGAGAAGAAGCGCAGGAGTAAGGCACAGCCTCAGTGTTTGGTTGGTTCGTAGGCCAAGGTTTTCTGAGAAAAACCCCCTCCTCCTCCTCCTCTTCTTTTATTTTTTGACTGATCAGTTTCTCTATAACAGCATCTCTGTCAATGCTCTCAGCACTGCTCTGCTCTCGGTGGGACACCGCTGCCGGGCTGCCGCATTGCCTGACGCCCCCAGCCAGCTACCCTCGCGTCAGAATCCCAGCAACAGAGGGTAGAGGTGACAGGGTGCTTGATGGCAACTGGGGGTGTTGGGAAAGGCTCCTTTTCCCTTAACGCCTTGCCTCTAGAAAATAACACATTCATAGACGTGTGCGTGTGTGTGTGTGTTCTCTGGGAACCTCCACCCAGACACACACACTCCCTCCCTCAGGGATTTAGACACTCCTTTGGAGAGCCCTGCGGCACCAGCCAGTGCTGTTGGGCGGACCCCTACATTAATCCTTTCCTGTTTAATGCAAAATGAGGCAGGGGAGAAGAGGAAAAAACCCACACTGTGTTCCTGGGCCTTTCTATTCCTGTGGCAGTTTCTCCAAGGCTTCCTTGGAACTAAGAGGGTCCCCCCACAGTGATGGTCCCCACGTGTCTGTTTTCTGTGCTCCAATGAGAGAAACATCACAGATGCACACTTGACCCTGGGTGCTGGCAATCACCCCTGCTCCTTCCTACCCCTACCCTGGAGATCCTGTCTGATTACTCTTCTCCTTTCCAAGCCCATGGGCTTCCGTCTTCCTTCCCCTTCTTCAGTTTTTCCTGTCCCTGATGCCACCTCTGGGCATCTCCTGGAGCCAATTGCTCCTTTTTATCATTTGTGATCTTAATTTGTTGAGGCATGAAATGCTGATTTAGTGCCATTTCCACAAACATAGGACTAACAGATTCTTTCTATCGCTCCCACCTTCCCTCTCTTGTCTCTCCCTACCTCCTCTTTCCTTTTACACTCTCTCTTTCCTCACCATTTCTGTTTTCTTTCTCTGCATTCTTTATTTTATTTTTCTCCTTTTTCTATCTGTTTCCTCTGCTTCTTCCTTCTCCGTTCCTGTTTCTGTCTCTCCCTCCCTCCATGCCTTTCCATTGCTTCTGTTCTTTCCCCCACTTTCCTTCCTAATTCCCTTTGTTTCTCTTCCCTCTCTCTTCTATCTTCTCTCTCTCTCTCTCCCCCCTCCCATTGAAGAGGCGCAGCGCTTGCCGTATTATGCCACCTACTGCTCTGTCCGCCTCCTCATCCATTCGGTCTGCACCAGCCACTACTTGGACATCTTCATCACCTTCATCATCTGCCTCAACGTCGTCACCATGTCCCTGGAGCACTACAACCAGCCAGTGGTGAGTGAGTTCAAGGGACCAAACCCTGCCCCTACCTCCTTCTCTTTCTTTTCCCCATCTCATTTTCCATAACAAAAGAGACTTGACATTTTCCCTTCCAAGCAGTCAAACACATAAGGGGTCACTAGGTTATAAGTAAAACTTAGCAGCCATTAGAGATTGACTTGGAAGAGCAGCATCTCCCAGCATGCTTTGCAGAGGGTGGTCAAATTGCAACCCAAAGGAAATCTCTATATATTCTGTAACCTTTTCTAACCTCTATCTTCCTCAAACCTATCCTCTCTGCAATGTCTCCTCCCCACTCCTTATCCTGGCAACCCCACGTGCTCGAAACACTAACCAGCGACTGATTGTGTAATTTCTCTACAGCTGCCGGTGTCATGATCCACCATGATAGATGGTAGAGGAGGGTCCCCAAGAAAATTGTCGTGCAAAATTCTGCAAGATAGGGTGATAGAGGGAGTTAGTTCTTTCCACTGTCATGTGGATGACCCAAGTTTAGCCTTGTGGTTTCCTTCTCTTTGTAGTTTCCCTTGGGCCCCAGCAGAGGGTGGCATACTGCCCCTGGGAGCTAGTGCTTTGCGTTGCTAGATGGATCAGATTTCAGTTTCTCAGTAGCCACCCCCGAACCTCAGTGGAGTGAGTTGGGAGTGCTACAGGGGCTGGCAGACCCAGTCCTTGGATAGCTGAAGAGAGACCCTCACCCAGTCACCCTCATTCCACAAGAGAAGCAGTGTGGACAGACGCTGAAGAGAGTCTGACCTAGTTTCTCTCAGCTGGAAGAAGGGTGATCACAACAGAAGGTCTTGAGGGTTGGGAAAGATCAATATTTGGGGTGGGGGAGATTTGGAAATCCTCAATATTTGTTGACAGGGTTACAGACACGTGCGGGAGAGGGGAAATGTGTGCTGGAAAAGGGGCTTTCTCCCTCTATCTGAAAGCACCACGCTCACTGCTCTGTCTGTTCAGAAGCATGCAGTTCCAGGGAGCCCCTTTCCATCTCCAGGAAGCCCTTGGTAAACTCCTGAGGGGTTTGAGGTGACAAATCTGATTTCATAGCTGGAGCTGGTTGTATTAGAAGTGACCAGGGCTGTGACTTGTCTATTGTTGCTCACATTCACTGCCAAGTTTTTCCTCTAGGTCCAGCTTATCTTTCTGGTTGGCTGTTTAATTTTGTTACTGTTTATCTTGTGTTCCTGAACTGCCCCCTCGTCCTGCCCTGGATTCCTCACAGTGTTTCCTATATCCCTATTTGTTCTGCAAAAGTTAGCATCCCTTATCCCTTCTCACCCCCTCATCACATCTTGCACAAGTCAATTAGCTTCCCTGTGTCTCAGTTTCTTCATCTTTGCAATAGGGATAAGCATACCCATTTCCTCACAGGCGTATGGTGAGGCTTCCCTAATCAGTTCTTGCGAAGTGCTTTTAGATTTCCAGGTAAAAGGTTCTGTGGACATGCTACATACAATTAATAGAAACCCTCTGGTGGCAGCGGCACCAATTCAGATATTTCTTTGGGGGAGGGCTAATTCCAGTCCCCGCCCACTCCGCGAGGTCACCTTCAGCCAGGGAGTCTCCCTTCTCTGTACAAAGGGGCACCCAGGTCAAATTTCAGTGGTGTTGCGATCACGCAGCCGGAGGGACACTCCACTGCTCCAGGAGCCACAGTAGTGATTTAGTATGGAGCCACTGCTTAAAAGTGAGCAGCCCAGGGTCTGTGGAACTTTCAGTAAGTCTAAACACTTTGGGCGGGGGTGGTATTCACCCCCACAGCCCTCCCTAGCTGGTGCCACTGTTTGGTGGAGAACAGAGACCTTACACGGGAGAACCAGGGCAGCGGAGTAGAGGGCGGAAGCTTGCTAAATACCCACCTAGTCCCCAACCAGAGACACGGGGTTTCCCCTTACTGCAGATAGCAACAGGTTATTTGCTCTGATGCACTCTCCCTGCCTGAAGCATTCCCTGTAGATTTATGGAAGCCATTTATAGGGTAACACCTGGGTGATGTCCCATGAACCTGATGCTGCTGATGTCAGAGATGCTGGGTGATGATGCTTTGTTAACCCTTTGCACACCACCGCCCTTCCCCAGGCCTGCCCATTCTCTTGAGCCGTGGCTAGGCAGAGCAGCAGGTATCCTGAGAGCCCCTTGGCATGGGAGTGCAGTGTGATGGCTGCTGCCCTTGGTAAGTCTGTGCCAGCATTCAAGTTGTTGCAATCCAGGATTTGGCAGCCCCCTCCTGCCTCCACCATTCCTGACCAGTTAAGCAGGCTGGAACTCAGTGACTTCACAAGCACGTCTGTAGTTAATGCCTCTCACTCTCCACCTCTCTCAGCATCTCTTTCCATCCACAGTCTCTTGAGACTGCCCTGAAGTACTGCAACTACATGTTCACCACAGTTTTTGTGCTGGAGGCGGTTCTGAAGCTGGTGGCGTTTGGATTGCGGCGATTCTTCAAAGACAGGTGAGCAGTAGGGCACGCAGGTCGTCCGGTGAGGCAGTGAAGTTTTGGGGAGGGATCTGTATCTGCAGTGGAATCCTAGAGCATGGGGGCCTCAACTTCTTCCTTGTTCCGGGTAGCAAAGATCTTATTAGCTTCACCTTAAACACACTGGAGCGATAACGGGTTAATGAGAGTTATCCAATGCTTCCTCTTGTTGGAGTCTGCTGATTGGTCCAGGAAGCAGAGTAGACGGGAGTAGAATAAATGACATCCAGTCATATTAGGCTCTAACTGTCACAGCGAGGCCTCCGATTCACTGATTTGGAGGATTTTATTTTACTTTATATTTAAAATGTAATGAATTCACATTCCCCTGTCAGTCACACTGAAAAGCTCCATTCTTCCTTATTCTTTTATTTTTTTAAGGTGGAACCAGCTGGACCTGGCCATTGTACTGCTATCTGTCATGGGCATCACGCTGGAGGAGATTGAAATCAATGCAGCTCTCCCCATCAACCCCACCATCATCCGCATCATGAGGGTGCTGCGCATTGCCCGGGGTGAGAGAGACACTGGAGGGAGACGTGGGGCACAGACACCTCTGGGGTGGGACAGAATGCACTGGGTGCTGCCTGTGATGCCAGTTCACCAATTGGCTTCTCATATCTGTAATCTTGGATGGTTATGGAAACTCAGGGCTTGTTTACAAGAGCAGTTATTCTGGAATAGCTATTCCAGATTAACTCCATGTGTGGATGCTCTTATTCTGGAATAAGAGTGCCTTATTCTGAATTAGCTTAATCCATTTTGGATTAAGTTTATTCAGAACAAAGCACTCTTATTCCAGAATAAGAGCATTCACACATGGAGTTTAATCAGAAATAGTTAATCCACCACTTTATTCCTGATTGATTTTCATGTGTAGACAATCCCTTAGGCTGTCTCCTGATTGCCCTCAACTTGACATTTAGACAAACCTTTGTCCAGGAGAGCAGTAGTGGCTTTCACTTTGTGAGAGGACCAAAATGATTGGCAGATTTTGTGAGAAACAAATTCTTTCTTCTTTTCTTTTGTAATGCAAATGTTGCTGTAATTTTTACAGAAAAGACAAAGGGCCTGTATGGTTTGCACTGGGGAGGATAGATTTACAGTGATGAGGGCGAATACTTGCCAAGCTTCAGCAAAAAGGAGAGGGAGGAGGAAATGAAGCAGGTGTAGAAGGATAAGGAATTGGAGTAGGAGAGATTGGTGATGTGTGGTGTTGGGAAAGGGAGGGCCAGTGTTCAGGATGTATGGGGATAGGATGGAAGGAACCAGAGTGGGCATGGAATGAGAGAGAAGGGTCGTTAGTATGCAGAGGGATAAGTTAGAATGGAAGGGACCGTGGGGCGGATGTGGGGGTGGGGCGTGGAAGGAAAATGGCCAGTTGGAGGAGGAGAGAGAGGTTGGTGGGTCAGTTTTACAATGGAGGAGAACGATAGAACACCCACATGGTGTGCTCCGTCCAGTTGTCCTGGCATACTGGAAGCAGATTTCTCTCCCTTGAGTCCCAGCTCTGAGTAACACTTTTGTTTTGGTTCTGGTACCAGTGCTGAAGCTACTGAAGATGGCGACAGGGATGCGGGCGTTACTGGACACAGTTGTGCAAGCTCTGCCACAGGTAAAAGAAAGCAGCTACTAGAAAGATGCCCCTTTTGTGCACCGGTCTTTCCATTAGTTCATTTCCTTGAGCGTGCCTAGAATCAGAGAGACGGTGTCTGCTGAGGTCTTTAAGACAGTGGCACGATGTGCCAGAGGGTCGTGCTCATATCGATATGTCAACCACATGGTTACATTCATTTCTTTCTGGCCTTGTCTGCTCACAACTTTAACCCCCCATGGTGTTACTGAATAAAGCAATGCTCCATTCCTGCATGAGACCTGCTTTATTTTTGGCTGCCCCTTCCCCCTTACTGCTGTCACTTTCCTCACACTCATTTGCCATGAGGATGGAGAGCAAACCATGACCATTTTAGGGAGAAAGCTGATGTTCAAGTATCTCTTCTGTGTCCCTCTCATTCTTTCCCACTTGTTCTCCCTTTCCACTGTCCTCTTCCATGCTGTGCTTGTTTCATTTCTGCCACCGCCTGCCTGCTTGCTTTCCATTTGCCCTCTTCTCCTCCTTGGTCTGCAAGTGATTTTGAACCTCTCACCCCACGAGAAGCAGTGACATTACCTGTGGTGGCTTGTACAACATGCAGCTAAATGCCTCCTGAAAGACAGCTAGACAGAAGGATTTCACGAGCTGTGAGTGGCAGCTGTTTTGGAATGAGTTATTCATGTACCACCTCATGCAGGCATCAGGCCCGCTGAGAGAAGCCCCTGTGATGGATGAGCAGCCAGAGAAACAGTTCTCTTCTCTTTTGGATCCTCCAGAGAGACGTGTTAAGAAAGGAATAATGGCACCAAGTAGCTGTATTGATCATAGATCAGATCATTCCTCTGGCAGGCCCAGAGCAGACAGTAATCTTATCGGATATCGAAATGCACAGGCATTTGTCAGCTGACTTATTAGGTAACACACCAGTGTTCGTGAATGAGGCCGGGCTGAAAATCAATCTGGGGACAGCACGAGCAGTTACACAAGGAACTTAATTCTGATATTTTTGTCACTAAACCATGTCCATCTGAATTAAAGGGAATCACTTGGCACAAGAATGAGATGGAAACACAATTTCCAGTCTTCGCTGAATTCTGGGCTTCATCTGACTTTCCTCTATTTATTGAGATTCTTTATTTATCACAGTAGCAGTGAGGGGCCCCAACTGAGACCCGGGCCCTATTGTGCTTGATGCTTTTATAGAATCATAGAGATGTAGGGCTGGAAGGAACTTCAGAGGTCATCCTGTCCAGTCCCGTGTGCTGAGGCAGGACCAAGGAAACGTAGAGCAACCCTGACAGGTGTTTGTCTAACCTGTTCTTAAAACCTTCCAATGACGGGGATTCTGCAGCCTTCCTTGGTAACCTCTTCCAGTTCTTAACTATCCTGGCAGTTAGAAAGGTTTTCCTAATATATAATTTAAGTCTCCCTGCTGCAGACTAAGCTGATTACTAGTCCTACCTTCAGTGGACATGGAGAACGAGTGATCACCGTCCTCTTTATAACAGCCCTTAACATATCTGAAGACTGTTATCAGGTCCCTCCCCTCTGTCTTCTTTTCTCAAGACTAAACATGCCCAGTTTTTTTAACCTTTCCTCATGGGTCAGATTTTCTAAACCTTTTATCATTTTTGTATAATATGCAGAGTAAGAGACAGTCTCTGCCTCAAAGAGTTTACAGTCTAAATAAACAAAGTCAATGCTATTTTCTCCATTTTACAGATAGGGAAACTGAGCCACAGAGCTGCAGTAAGTTGCTTAGGGTCACCTAGGGATTCTGGGGCAGAGCTGAGAATTGAACCCAGATCTTCTGAATCCCAAGGCAGCACCTTGGTTACAAGGTCACCATTCTTCCGTGCTTAATAAATCCTGGGTCTTTCACATTATTTCACCAAAGAACCTCACTGCTAAGCAAGAGTTCTTAATATCTGCCCCTGCACACACACAAACACCTATTAAAAGAAGGTCCCCCCTTGCAAAGAGTACTGGGTCAAGGAATTTCCAGTAGTAATTTCTGGCACTGAAGGAGTGTGTAGTCAGGACCTTCCTATCTGATGGTCCTTGGTTCTGTAATAGGGAAAGGTTGACTTCATTTAATAAAGTTACATTATGGAGGCATCAAAAATGACTCCACAGTCAAGACTGTGTTAAAATGTGCTCTTAAGGCAATACTAAAACCCCTCTGTTTCACATTTAAATGATTGAATTTAGTCTCCATATTTTCTTTTACACACTAACTCTTCAGGGGACAATTGAATTATCCATAATACTATTTTTCTCCAAGCTTTATTAACATTGGCAGAATAAGTGTCTTAAAACAGTCTCTCCTTTCCTTGGCACTCTGTTCTCCTCTCGACCTTTCTCTTTATATTACTAGAGCAGACAGTCATCAATGGTTTTGTCTTGCTAATGGCATGGAAGGCTTCTCTGGCTGCCCTGTTTGAATCCCCTGTCTGTCTTTGTTACTCTGCAACCATTCTGAAAAGTGAATAAAGATGTCATTTAAAAAAAATCCCTTTTGGAAATTTATCCCTGAGCGTCTCAGCTTTTTTCAGCTCCCTGTGGCTAGAACCCTCCCCTCCCCACAGTCAGTGTGTACGCACAAGTGCACACACACATGTGCTGACATCTCACACCAAGGCTGCTTTCCAAATTTTTAAATGTAACCAGATCAGAGTTACTCCCCTCCTTCATCAGCACCTCACCTAGCTCAGCCCACAGAGCTACCAGCTGGCGTCAGCTACTTCCCTTTTCTGCTGCCGCCCAGTCTGCCTTCTGGACACGCTGGCCTGTTCCTCACACTCCTCACTGCAGACAATGGAGCCAGGAATTGGAGAGGCAAGCAGAGATATTGGGGAGGGATAACAGGGGAGTGCTTTCCCCTGTTACTGCTGGCACAGCTTCCATGGTGCACCAGACAGCAGCCCCATGGGAAACCCTGCAAGTGCGATAGCTGGGGGCATAGAAACTGGGCTCTCTCCCACAGGCTACCTGCTCCTTCCATTCCAAGCTCCTCATACACAGGCCTAGTTCCCTACTTGAGTCCCTGCAGTCTCTCTCCTCCCTTGTTCCCCTCCCACCACACATATCAGGAGAGCCTGGTTCATTCCTTCTGCCCCCTGCCGCATGCCCACTCCCGCGGTGCTCGCTGATAGACCTGCTCTCACCCTCTTCTGCCCCCACATTTGACTAGCACCTTGACTCCCACAATGCACCAGGCAGCAGCACTGAGGGGGAGCTGGGCAGCTGGGGAGGGGGGCTCTTTGGGGTAAAATTTTACTCTCGGCTCATACTTTGTCCTGTGCAACAGGCTTCACCACTCCATATGTGCCTAAATGTGATTATCTTCATCTCTCTGGGCTTGGAGTCTGAGGGGTGGGATTGTGAGGAACTGGATGACCCGCTATAGGCTACGAATGAAAGGAGCCGTGGCGGCTGTGAGTGGCTTTGAAGGTTAGGATGTTTGGGTAGGAAGGCCTGGGGAGATGAGGTTACTGTGAGCATGACTGGTGGCTTCACTGGCGACTTCCTGGGTTCTGAGTGGTTGCGTGCATGAAGTTTCTAAAGGTTTCGGAGTGGAAATATTTGATGGTGTTCTGTTGCTGCTGCTAGAGTGATGATAGCTGGCTTGGCCTGGTGTGATTCAGTCGTGCTTGGCTTGGCTTGGCTTGGCTTAGCCTGATATGGTTCGGTTTGGTTTCAGGTGGGGAACCTCGGACTGCTCTTCATGCTCCTCTTTTTCATCTACGCTGCTCTAGGAGTGGAACTCTTTGGGAAGCTGGGTAAGTTTCAAGCATGCCGTGCTCTTGGGTGAGCCAAAGAATGGAAAAAAAAATGGCAGTTTCCCATATTGCAGCAGGCCCAGCTCTGATTTAATGAAAGGGCTGGGTATTCTGATGACCTTTAACCTCCTCTCTGGGTATTTGCCATGATAGGAATTTCCACCTTTCCAAAAAACCTGTCTCCGAATGAGAGAGTTAGATGGCTTTCTCTCATTCTTAAGTCTTTGCTTTCCATGCACTGCCTCAGCAAATCAGCTCCTCTCTGTCCCAGTTCCAGCCAAATGGCTAAAGGGAAGACTCAGGGGAAGTTCATGCACTCCTCTGGTCCATGTTGACATGTATCAATGGGCAAAACTTTCAGCCAAGTACATGAAGAGGGGCAGGGAATCTTCTTTCACACCAAGAGGATTAGGCCCTTGATCAAGTGACTACTGCTGGGTGTTGTGGGGGTAGCATTTTACCACTCTTACCAGTATGCCAGGTACGTCTGGCTCACATGCACTTGCTATGCTGCTGATTGTAGCAGGAAAACCCTCAAAATCCCTTCATTTTAATGGATGGTGCCAGCACAGCAAGCTTGCAGGCTTGGATCGGCAGCCATGGGGTAAAGGAGAACTATGTTTTGGACCACTAAGCATGCTGGGAGACATCCATGGGAAATGAGTTATGCTGCTCGATATCCTGGGGTTGGGGTAATTATTCTGATACTGCTAGACAATGTCCAACCCATTGGTCATTACTGTCATGGACCCAGCCTATGGGACTATAGACTGGAGCCATTAAGTGCAGACTTCTGGATGTGAAGCTAATAATCTCAGAGTGGAATGGTCACAGGGAGGCTTATTCTGAGTCCCTGGCACACTCTGAGAGCTAGGAATCAATCCACTGCACAATTATAAATTCCTTCTTTTGCAGTGTGCAATGACGAGAACCCCTGTGAGGGCATGAGCCGCCATGCCACCTTTGAGAACTTTGGGATGGCCTTCCTCACGCTCTTCCAGGTCTCCACTGGCGACAACTGGAATGGAATCATGAAGGTAACATGGGCCTCAGAGGAGGAAACATCTCTGTTCTAATGAAGGAGAAATTCTACGCTTGAGTGGGAGGGATCAGCACTGCTTGGAACTGTCGGTGACTCGGACATGGGTGGCCATGTCTAGGGGTTAGAGTGGGCGTCAGACCCAGAGTCAGAGGCCCAATGCCAGAGCCAAGGGTCACAGCCGGAGTCAGGAGTCAGGGCCCAGGGTCAAAACTGGTTTACCTGGTGTGAGGCTAGATAGGAGCAGGGCTGGGTCCAAGACAGAAGCTATTGCAGCCAGGGGCAAATACTTAAAGCAGCAGCTGCTGCTGGGTTTAAGAGCCGGTCTGCTGACTCTTCCAGTCAGTCAGACAGTGTAACCTATTAGGCAATCTACTACAGGCCATTAGGGGTCCTGCAGACTGGATCTGGTGCAGACCCTGTTTTCTGACAGAAACTGTTTTTACAGGAGCTCAATGATGAGGAAATGTAGATGCTGGCTTGCCAGTTCAGACCACTGGCCCATCTAGTCCAGGATTCTACTTCCTGCCAGATTAGATCAGATCATTGGCCCATTTAGTCTTGCAGGCAGCTGGCTGAGAGAAGTGCAAATTCTCTACTCAAAGAGCAGGACAACAGTGTGGCCATGCTGAGAAGGGAGATTCACCACCATCACCACCCTAGCCCCTTCTCCGAGGCTGAGTGTGGGGGGGCATTTGGTATGACACACACATGGAGCTGCAATGGGAGTGGCTTGTGATTTAGAAACCTCAGGCAGATAAGTTTTCTCCCCCATGTTCAAATCATATTGCTCCAAATTAAATAGCTTACAAGGATTCAAGGAGGGGAAATGGACAGTTCTTTGGACATGGGTAGTGTCTTTGGGAGATGAAGGGGATTAGGCACTTAGTTGCAGTGACTCTTGCTCACACTTGCAGAATTAAAATGTTCACATTTGCGGGTCTGGAAGGAATTTTCTCCCTAGGCTTATGGGGAAGAGGACACCTGTTTCTGGAGCACTGGGCAGAGACTGTCAAATGTGATGGTCTTCCTGTGATTGCCGGGGGCACTGGGCACCGAGGATCCCAGATGCTCAGACAGCACTGGGTATTGGAGAACCTTAGTCCTGCCTGGCATTGGATTCTGTGTTTTTTTACTGAGGGAGCAGCCAAATTTAAATTCTTACTCTAGTCCTTCCCTCCCTTTTCCCACCACTTCCTCTCACACTTGCCCTTTCCTCAAGGATACCCTGCGGGACTGCACCCATGATGACCGGAGTTGCCTCAGCAACCTGCAGTTCATCTCGCCACTCTACTTTGTCAGCTTCGTGCTCACAGCCCAGTTTGTCCTCATCAACGTGGTGGTAGCTGTGCTCATGAAACACCTCGACGACAGCAACAAGGAGGCGCAGGAGGACGCAGAAATGGATGCCGAGATTGAGCTCGAGATGGCACACGGGCTCTGCCCCCGCACCGTGGGCTCCCCGAGCTCAGGACAGGGAGCAGGAGGTGGAGGAGGTGGGAGAGTGGACCCTGAAGGACGTCTGTGCATGAGATGTTTCTCTCCAGCACAGGTGGGTAAACCTTTATGCTTACCAGCAAAACTGCAGCAGGCTGGAGTGGGGAGAAGGAGGGCAGTCTAGATGATTTAGGGCTTAGTAATGGGATACACACTGGTGACTGGTTTGCATTCAGGTCTAGCTTGGGTGAACTGGGTTGTGCCGGTGCATTGGTGGTGTTGTGTGGGGCCAGGACTGGAAGAGTAAGGGGTGCAGGGGGTACTGCAGGACAGGTTGGAGGTGCATTGTCAGAACTGTGCAGGAAGCTCAGGATTACAATAGGAGGGGTGCTGCAGGTCAAGATTAAGGTGCATTAGCAGAGTATTTTGTGTGGGAAGCTCAGGATTGGAATAGCAGGAGATGGTGCAGTACAGGAGTGAGATGCATTGGCAGAGCTGGAAGGGAAGCTTACGCAGTGCCTGTCTGCAATGGCAACTAGTGATGTTAGTCCCTCCATTTCACATGAACACTAAGGCCTGGTCTAACTAAAAAGCTAAGTCAACCCAGCTACATCGCTTAGGGGTGTGAAAAAGCCACACCCCTGAGCAATGTAGCTGTGCCTAACCCCCGGCATAGACAATGCTAGGTCAATGGAAGAATTCTTCCACTGACCAAGCTGCCACCTCTCAGGGAGATGGGTTACCTACGCCAGTGGGAGAACCCCTCCTGTCAGCATAGGTAGTGTCTACACCAGAGGTTTTCAACCTTTTTTCATTTGTGGACCCCTACAAAACTTCAAATGGAAGCACGGACCCCTTTGGAAATCGTAGACATACTCTGCAGATCCCCAGGGGTCTGTGAACCACAGGTTGAAAACCACTGTTCTACGGTAATGACAACCTTTCGTGGACCCCTTAGACGTAGTCTGAGGACCCCCCAGGGGTCCGTGGACTACAGGTTGTAATCCACTGGTCTCTGCTGAAGCTCTGCAGTGGCACATCTGTAGTGTTTCAAGTGTAGACAAGCCCTAAGTGCTGTATTCTGTCACCATCAAGTGACACCTTGCTCCACGACCAGCCTCATTGACTTCAGTAAGGTTGCTCATAGAGTAAAGTGCTACTCCCTCTGTGTAAGGGTGGCAGAATCTGGCCCTCAATTCACACAACACATTAAAGCAAAAAATTCTGGGTTCTTTAAATAATTTCTCCCATCCTCCCCCTTTCTTGTCCCCTAGGAGAACTTATGGCTGGACAGTGTCTCTTTAATTATTAAGGACTCCTTCGACGGGGAGTTAATGATCATCGATAACCTATCGGGCTCCGTCTTCCATCATTACTCCTCGCCGGCCATGTGCGAGAAGTGTAACCATGACAAGCAAGAGGTAACCTGCGTGCGAGGATGGGGAGGGAACCCCCAAATACACACACACATGCTCATACCCTTGAGGTTTTCCTGAGGAGCGCTCCATAGATTGTTTAGACAGAAGCTTTGACCTTTGTTACTACAGTGAATTTATGATATTGGCCTGTCCTCCTAAGCAATTGGAGACACGTATGTACTGGTGGAAAGCAGGAAGGAAAGGCAGTTGTACCAGGAAGGATGACAGGAGAGAGTGAACTAGAGGTGGAGATATCGTTGCGGAGGTACAGTAGACTCTCCAGTTGGCATTCAGTTTTTCACTTAAAGAAGGGATTTTCAAGTAAATCTGTTAATTAGTCTGAGTTAAAATTAGGGCTGTTGATTAATCACAGTTAACTCACGCAATTAACTAAAAAAAAAATAATCGTGATTAAAAAGAAATAATTACGATTAATCGCAGTTTCAATCACACTGTTAAGCAATAGAATACCAAGTGAAATTTATTAAATATTTTTGGATTTTTTTTTTATATTTTCAAATATATCGATTTCAATTACAACACAGAATACAAAGTGTACTGGGCTCACTTTATATTATTATTATTACTAACATTTGTACTCTATAAATCACAAATAAAAAAAATAGTATGTTTCAATTCACCTCATACAAGTCCTGTAGTGCAACCTCCTTATTGTGACAGTGCAACTTACAAATGTAAATTTTTTTTGTTACATAACTGCACTCCAGAACAAAACAATGTAAAACATTAGCACCTACAAGTCCACTCAGTCCTACTTCTCGTTCAGCCAATCGCCCAGATAAACAAGTTTGTTTCCATTTACAGGAGATAACACTGCCCGCTTCTTATTTACAATGTCACCTGAAAGTGAGAACAGGCATTCGCATGGCACTTTTGTAGCCAGCATTGCAAGGTATTTACCTGCCAGCTATGCTAAACATTCATATGCCCCTTCATGCTTTGGCCATCGTTCCAGAGGACATGCTTCCATGCTGATTATGCTTGTTAAAAAAAATGTGTTAATTAAATTTGTGACTGAACTCCTTGGGGGAGAATTGTATGTCTCCTGCTCTGTTTTACTCGTATTCTGCCATATATTTCATGTTATAGCAGGCTCGGATGATGGCCCAGCACATGTTGTTTCTTTTAAGAACACTTTCACTGCAGATTTGACAAAACACAAAGAACGTACCAATGTGAGATTTCTAAAGATAGCTACAGCACTTGACCCAAGATTTAAGAATCTGAAGTGCCTTCCAAAATCTGAGAGGGACTAGAGTGCTTTCAGAAGTCTTAAAAGAGCAACAGTCCAATGCAGAAACTACAGAACCCAAACCACCAAAAAAGAAAATCAACATTCTGCTGGTGACATCTGACTCAGATGATGAAAATTAACATACGTCAGTCCGCATTGCTTTGGATGGTTATTGAGCAGAACCTGTCATCAGCATGGATGCATGTCCTCTGGAATGGTGGTTGAAGCACGAAGGGACATAGGAATCTTTAGTGCATTTGGCACGTAAATATCTTGTGACGCTGGCTACAACAGTGCCATGTGAACGCCTGTTCTCAGTTTCAGGTGACATTGTAAACAAGAAGCAGGCAGCATTATCTTCTGCAAATGTAAACAAACTTGTTTGTCTGAGCGATTGACTGAACAAGAAGTAGGACAGAGTGAACTTGTAGGCTCTAAAGTTTTACATTGTTTTATTTTTCAATGCAGGGTTTTTTTTAACATAATTCTACATTTGTAAATTCAATTTTCTTGATAGAGATTTCACTACAGTACTTGCAATGGGGGAATTGAAAAATACTATTTCTTTTGTTTTTTACAGTGCTAATCAAAAATAAATATTAACTGAGCATTGTGCACTTTGTATTCTGTGTTGTAATTGAAATAAATATATATGAAAATGTATAAAACATTAAAAAATTTAAATAAATGGTATTCTATTATTGTTTAACAGCGTGATTAATTGCAATGAATTTTTTTAATTGTACGATTAATTGTGATTAATTTTTTTAATCACTTGACAGCCCTAGTTAAAATGAATTTAAAATTAGCTTATTAAGGAAGTTTTTGAGTCTCTTTTTTTAGGAGGGGATCCTTCTAGCTAAAAACGGCTTCTTACTAAGGATGGGAGTTTCAAAATCACATCAAGGACTTAGGAGCACAAGTCCCATGGACTTTCCGTGAGACTTGTGCTCCTAAATCACTTTTAGGTGCTTTTGAAAATCCTTCCCTAAACCTCTGGAATTTCCATTAAAACTCACTGAAAATGTTGAAAGAAATTAGGTTGTAATTAAGTAAAATTTTTAACAACTGTTGTACCTCCCTGTCATGATTGTGGTTACAGTTGTGTCAATAGCTCAGGTTATTCTTATATATTGTCAATGTGATACCAGCGGTAACACAACCAATCCTCACCATTCCCTGTCTAGTTAATTTGCATTCTACAGTGTTATTGGTTGAAATTAGTTAGCAAAGTTAGAGTGTCAAGAGTTCTCATTGGTAGATTACGCTGTCCTCTGTACATAAAGAGAGCAATGGATTGGCTCCATGCCTCTGGGTCCAAGGCACCAGGCCTTCTCCTCCCAGCCATAGCCTTCTCAATGAGTCTTCCTCAGAGGCAGCAATATTAATATTAATATGGATGCTGCTATTCTTCTCCAATTGCCGAGTCTTCAAGCCCTCATCCACAGGGGGCATGTGGTGGTATACCCAAGATTTTGATGAGTGACTAGTAATTTGGGGTGCCTGCATTTTTGGCTGACCAACTCAAGGCCCTTTAAGGGGCCTGATATTTAGAGAGTGAGTGCTAAGCACTTTCTGTTAATCAGGCCCATTTAAGGCATCCCAAGGTGGGCACCCAAAATCACTTGTTGCTTTTGAAAATCTTGGCCATAATCTTCAGCATCATGCGTGGGGAGGCAGGTGGCAGGAGAATTTTCTCACCCTCTCATGCAGGAAGGTAGGCAGCAAAATCACCATACCACCATCAAGGGGTAGGATGGCAGACTTTTCACAACCACAAAGGGTACTTGTGGTGACATCTTCCCCCATGGTAACAAAACTTTAGAATCCAAGTCAAGGGAAGGGGAAAGTAATAGGGCTAAAGAGAAAGATGATGAATCCTGGACTTTCATAAGCATCATTACTATGTATGTGCTGTATGCAGCTGAATTATGGGTAGGTGACAATCAGCAGTAGCCTTGAGCACTCCCGCTAACCCTACAAACATCCTTTGGGTCCCCAGGATATCCCACGCCTACCTGAGCTCAGCATGTCAGCAAAGCTTCTAAGCTCAGCAGAATTTCTCTGGCCCCACTTGGGTCTTTCTTTGAGTCATCTGCCCCCTATTTCTCAGCTCCCCCAAGTTCCATACCTTGATTCCAACTTCTGGTCCCAGATATTCTTCCCTGCAAACTTTTTGAAGTCTTAAGGATCTACTGTGGACATTAGTAGATCTGACACTGGGTCGATGGTTCCTGCAGACCTGTTAAGGTCTGCAGCAGATTCTGTGGACTTCAGAAGGTCCACAGGGATGCAAGACTGGGAGAAGAAGCAGGAATCAAAGTTTGGAGCATGGGAAAGCAGGAAAGGCTGGTGAATAGTGGGAAGGTGATTTCCAGAGGATAGCTGGGAAACCAAGGTCATGCATAGTTTCTCAACTCCACAGAGTTCTTTGAACTCTGGCTCCTCATGGTTCCCAGTGCCCTGCAGTTCTCCTGGTTTTACCTGGTCCCATTTCCTATCAGAACATAGGAGCTTCAGCAGGTTTCCTCCTGTCTGCCTGTCTTGTTCCCTGTGTATGTCATAACCATGTCAAACTGTTAAAAAAACACAGGTGCTCTCTAGACAAAACCTTTGTTAAGGTGGAGTTAAGGTTGAGATGACATACAGGAAGATGCAAGAGAGCACAAAACAAAATTTGGATTAAAAAACCAACAAAAAAAGTATTTTGAAATATTAAATGAAAGAAAACCGCAATTTCATAAAAAAAATGCCCAGGCAAGCACAGTTAGCCAGAATGATAACCACAATCTATAATAATTTATTTTTAAAAGATAAAAAAATTACATTAAAAGAAAAATAGGAATCAAAAAACTTGTGCTAAAAATGGGGAAAGTGAAAACAACTGTGAAAGAATTGATTTGTAATTTTAAAAAAGTTCCAATAACCACTTTAGAATTATAAATTATCTTCCAAAGTTGCTATTTTTGATTCATATAAATACATACTGGAATTTAAAGGAAATTATTGATCAACTCATGAAGGAACAATTTAGCATTAAAATTTAGATATTTTTGTTTTCTAAATCACATTAAAGTAAGATTAAAGATCAACGTTTTAACCAGATATATGCATCATTATTTTTTATCCATAATTACATAGTATAAAACTTTTGTGAAAAACAACAAGGAAATTCCACCAGAAGAACACTATGCTGTGTAACACTGAAGGCTGTCCAGATACAACCACCACTACCTCTAACATTAAAAATCTAGGATGTACACAGACATTTCAAACACACTGTAGAGTAATCAATCAAAATTTATGTAGACAGAGCACATTCTTCATCTGGCCCTATTCAACATGTGTGTGCTTCATGACAATTATAAGGAAGCACCATGCCAAAACAGGTTGAAACCTGCCCCATGACAACACTTGCCTACAGCCTTCAGTTCTTTGTTCCCTTCTTATCTAGAGCTTGATCCAGCAATGTGCTAAATGCTCCAGCTCAATCCAGCCAAAACACTACACATGCTTAAAGTTCTTAAGTATGTGCTAAGTGTTCTGCTCTGTCAAGTGAAAGCCCACTGTCATAATTTCATGTTTACTTCGTCAACTTTAGTCAGGAGAGTTCTAAGTAGTCTATAGAAGTTGTAATATTAAAATATAAGAAGACCCTTCCTCACCACGAAGCTGGTCTCTTTTCATGTCATTTCTATCATTTCATTTTCTGTCTTTATGAGGTTTGTGTACATACTGGCAATGTGTATTGGTGGTCCATGGAGTGTTTAATCTGCAGCCCAGGGTTTGTCAATGAAAAATGGTGAACAATGGCTTTGAGCCTACTTATTGTCTATTTATGATTTTGTTAAGTGTGTCTTTCTGTGTAGACTGCAAAGTGGACAGATTTGCAGAATAACAGTTCAACAAAGAGTAAAGTAGTCTAGTGTTTGTGGTCACTGATGATTTTAAACGCTTTGTTATGGTTGAAGGAGGTTGTCTCAGATTTTTTTCCTATTTCATGCCTGCATGCCTATAGGGACAGAGTTAAGGTTGTTTTGGTGGAATGTTTCCTTATACATCATGGATGAGCACACATGTCGAATGGGGCCGGATTCAGACTGTGCTTTCTAGACCTTAAATTGTTGTTGACTGGTTGCTGAGTAGCATGTCTGACACAATGCAGTTGTGGGTTTCCGAGTTTGTTAACGCTCTGAGTTGGTGGCTTTTGTATTTGAGCAATCTGAACAGGTATACCACATGGAGTTCTTGTGTTGAAACAACCTAATGGCTATGGATGTCAGGTCTCTTCCAAAATCTAGCTCAGGTTTTTTCTTTTGATTATTCCAAGTGAATTATCACTCTGAAGGAGTCCTCTTCCAATCACTGACGCTGGCACAGACTGCTAAACTTCCAGCCTGAAGGAGCCATATCACCATCATCTTATTCTTATTCGCATAGTGGCACTGGTGCACATGGTCTGTTCACACACACAGGAGGACAAGATCTTGGTCCTGAGGGGCATGCAGCCCCAAATAAGACGGTTACAACAACAATAAAGGATCAGGTGCAGCAGTAGGAGCTAGCTCTGCTCTAGAGATCAGTGAGGGAAGCCTGAGTGAAGGAAGTATGTTTGAAGAAGGAGAGGGAGGCTGCTAGGAAGAAGGAGATGCTTTCCAAGTGTAGAGGAGAGATGCAAATGGGAGGAGGCAAAGGAAGAACTAAGGAGAGAAGGTTGAGGAGGGGAGGGTGTAAAATGGGATGGGGATGAAATGAACAGAGATGTAGGCAGGAGCAGAGCTGTATAGAGTCTGAAAGCTGAGAATGATGGGCTTTGTTACACCTGATGAAGAAAGAGGAAGCCAGTGAAGGGAATGGAGGACGGGGTGCCATAGATAAAGCAACAGGGAGGAGAAGATGATGTTAGTTGAGGTGTTGGATAGATTAAAGGTGAGAGAGGGAAGAAGCAGAGAGGCCAGAAGGGAATAGGTTATAGTAGTTAAGGTGAAAGAGAGTCAAAAGCATGACACTGGCATGGACTGAAGGTGGCATGACTATCCCTGGCATGAAAGAGCCTTCACACTATTTAACTAGGGCAATCTTCATTAGCCCCAGACTGAGGGGGCCTTCTCTTCGTCCAGCATCAGAGCACACTCTGTTGTCACCAGACTAAGGGCTTGTGTACACAACATTTAGTTTGCAGCAAGGTGGGGTGTGAATCAACCCTGCACTAGCCTGATGTGGGCTGGCTGTCTGCATGGACCCTGCTGAAGGTCAGAGAGGACTAGATCAGAGCACATTAATGAACTGTTAATGCACGGCAGCAGGTCCACAGGGACAGTTTGTCTGCCAAAGGCTAGTGCAGGGTAGATTCACACCTCAGCTTGCCACGAACTAATTGTTGGTGTAAACAAACCTTACAGGACTCTTCCCCAACTCTCTGTCTTTGGGGCAGACTATTATCCCCAGACTAAGGAAGACCTCTCCTGGCACTGGCTCAGGGAACCGTATGCTTGAGGAGCCTGGTGCCAGACCCTGACCCTGGGACAGACTCTGGATTCATCTCTCCATCTCTGACACCAGGGGAGTTTTGATTAGGGAACCCATCATCTGGATTGGTCCCTGGCAGCTCCCAGACTTCATTTCCATGCTTTACTAGAAGTGGGTCATCTCACCAGGCCTAGCTCTAGGTTAGGAAATACATAGTATAAATAAAGGAATTTTTTTATAAGTCAATCTCATGTGTCTGGGCTCTCTCCCTGCACCCATCCAGCCTTAAAACAGCAGGAGTGGTTGAGAAACAGATTCAGGCCATATCCTGTGACCGCTTCTTTTTCCTCCTGTAGGTTCAGCTGGCTGAAATGGAAGGCTTATCCCTCAACTCAGACAAGTCTTCTTCCATCCTGCTAGGGGATGATTTAGACAATCGCAGCATCTGTCAGTTGAGTTCTAAGGAGACCAAGGTAGGAACATCCTAGGTATTTGGGATATATGCGTACACAGTGGGAAGAGTGCGCATCCTCCCAGGTCCTGAATGACATGTCCTTCCTTGAAAGAGCCACCATTCCTCCTAGCAGTGCTTTGGCAAGAACCCGTTCCTCACTCAGGGCATGGGAGTGAATCCCGTGAGGGTCTGGCTTTTCCCAGTGGAGGAGGTTACAAGGGGTGAGTGTCTCCTCTCCTCTTCACTTCTCCATGCTGTCTGAGACAGGGTCCGTCACAGAACTTATGTGTACACAGCACAAACCATGGGAGAGGCCTGCATCTTGGAACAGGACCACAACATCCATTGGCCATTAGCACCTGCTGATCGGATACATGTTTCTCTTAATGTGCCGCACTCTGTACCTCTGTCCCAGCACAGCCTGGAGTGCCATGTATTCCCCTGCTGATCACACTTCACTCCCATGAAGAATGTGAGTGCCAGGCACTTAGCAGCAACTCCTCCCCTAGAAACTTATCACTCAGACAGATCTGATGACAACACGGAGAGGGGTGCAAACGACAACTCCTTTCACCACGATCAATGGCTTGCTTTGACTGGAAATATGTTTAGGGGGATGGGGCTGTAACTCTTTGGAATGTCCATTTGCTAACATGAATGTGCACTGTTCAGGTATCTTCAGAATCCACCCCATCTCCAGAGCTTGCTCAGGGAGCTTCACCCCATCCATGTGATTTTTAATTTCACAAAGGATATCTCTTTAATTTTTTCAACAGAATGGCCAGAACAGCCCTGACTCCATGGGCATGGGAGATTTGGGGGAATGTTTCTTCCCATTAACAACTACAGGTGCTTCTCCAACTCCAGAAGGTTACTTGTGTGAAATGGAGAAAATCCCTTTCAACCCCGTCCAGTCCTGGCTGAAGCATGAGAGTAATCAAGGTAAAGAAAGTCCCCTCCATTCTCCTGGACAGTGTGGTCATTTGATGCTAGCTCTGCTGACAGTGCAGACTGGTTCAGTTAGTCTGACCTGGCTCTGCTTTATTCTGGTCAGGAATACAGTTGATATGATACAGGATTTCACTAAAGAAGACAGGTTTCAGAGGAACAGCCGTGTTAGTCTGTATTCGCAAAAAGAAAAGGAGTACTTGTGGCACCTTAGAGACTAACCAATTTATTTGAGCATGAGCTTTCGTGAGCTACAGCTCACTTCAAACATCTGATGAAGTGAGCTGTAGCTCACGAAAGCTCATGCTCAAATAAATTGGTTAGTCTCTAAGGTGCCACAAGTACTCCTTTTCTTTTCACTAAAGAAGAATTCACTCTCAGTTTGACAATCTCAGTGTAGTGCAGGGCTTAATTTGTAATGAAAGAGGTGCCGGGGCTCAAGCAATTGTTTTACATTCATAACTGGTGCGGCAAGCTCAGAGGTGCTGGGGCTATGAATTCCCAAACCTAGAGGTGCTGGGGTTCAGTCCTGGCAAGCCCTGGCACAAATTAAGCACTAGTGTGGTGCTTGCTTGGTTTCCCTGGCACCTTCTGTCGTGACTATTGTCTTTCCTTGGAGTTGCCCTAGACAGACAGATGTTCACAATCTTAAAGGACATGATTCTCCTGTACACTAAGGTCCCTTTGGACAGCTGGAGCAGGATGCAAATGAGAATGAGCCCAAAGACTTCAAAACCAGTGTCACGTCAGCTAGCAATCAGGTGGATGAACCGTGCTAACTCTGTAGTGTAGACAGTGCCACCATCTCCTGAGGCCATGCTCCTTAGCTCTAGGGTCCGTACAGTACCTTCATCTGCCTTGGAAACAAGAGTCCTAATTCCACTCCTGAGCACATGCCTCTGGCCTTATGGGGTCAGTGAGCTCCCCAGTCACCTTTTTGTGTATTTCCCTTTTCTACTACTCCGCAGGAGCCCAGCTGTAAGTCCCTGGACTTTAGTGGCGTTGCACGTGGGTTAAATTTGGCCTATCATGTCTCCGCCTTTTTCTCCAAGGACATTTATGGGAGGGGCATATTGCTCTCCATTTCCTTGTTGGGCTATTGATCCAAGCTCTGATAGTGCTTCTGAGTCTGTTACTAACTCCGGTAATTATGTGGAAAGCAGGATCAGTGGAATGTGTGAACACCCAGCACTCCGGATCCATGCCTGGGTGTACTTGTCACTAAACACCTTCAGTTTAGAGGGCTTACAGGACCCTTACCTAGGTAGAAACAGAGACTCCAAAGTGGATCAATGGACTCTTGAGGTCTTATTTTTCTGTTTTCATTCCATCTCCTTCCTCCACTCTGCCAGTTCCCCCCGGACCCTTTTCTCCAGGTACGTCCAGGCCACTGTTACCTGTACCAGCAGAGTTTTTCCATCCAGCCATCTCTGCCACCCAGACTGGGCAGGAGAAGGTTTCCTGTCCAGGCAGCCTTCCTAAAATCTCTCTGCAGGGTTCATGGGCATCACTGCGATCCCCAAGTGTGAACTGCTCACTACTCCACCAGGTAAGGGCCCTGCTTCCCATCCATCCATGATAGGGGCTCCTCATGTATATCCAAACAAAGAGGGAGCTGAGGGGAGGAGAGAGAGAAGAAGGGCCTAAAGCAGACATGCCAAACCCGCAAAAAAACCCACAGAAATTGGGCTTGTTTTTGGCTTAATTGGCTTGTGAGTTGCTTGTTGGCTAGTTTTTGGCTTGTAGCTTGTTGCTTGTTTGGCTTGTAGCTTGTTGCTTTGTTTTTTTGATAGGCTCCCGGCAAGCAGGGGCAAGGATGGGGCAAGCAGGGGCAAGGGGGGAGAGAGTTGGGGTGCACAGCAGGCCCACCATAGTCCCAGGCTGCACGCCGGGGGATTTTGTCACATAGAGTGTTGGGGTTCTTAGGGATTGGCTTGTTTTGGCCTTGTTTTGAAATGCAATTAGCTTGATCCTTGGCTAATTGTGAAAGTCGGGGTGCTTATTTACCACGTGAAAGTTGGCAACTGTGGCCTAGAGTGCACTGGATCTGGGGGCTCAAAGGGCTAGATCACTACTGGGAACAGAAAGTACACTAGGTTGAAGATTTATTCATAGTGAGTACTAGGGAAGGAGGAGCTGGGCGGAACAGTAGGTAAGGCACTGGCCCTGTGCCTCCAGAAAACATGCACTGGCCTGGTTTGGGTCGCAAGTTAGCTTGACGGCCTCAGTCTAGATCCAAGTAGGCATGAGTTCACATTGGCTCCTCAGCCATGCCTCCCAAGCTCCTGCTGCTTGGATGGCAAGTATAAAGAGGTAGCGCCAGACACCCCTGTTTCTAGGTTTGGTGCTGATTGGTTTCCACTTAAGGACTTGGTCTGGTGACAGAGAGGGCATTTGCCCTTGGGTTCAACACATATAAAAATAGTCTCAGCAGGAGTTAAAGAAGGTGGGTAGGAAGCCAGATGTTTTTCACAGGGCCCAAGCAACAGCGGCAATGAAGTCCGAATAGAACTGGAATGGACCTTTCTTCATGCCCACACACACGATGCTTGTTAGGTCTGTATCCCATCCAGATGGACTGTGTGTCCCTGGCCTTGTCTGTGTTCATATCCCATCTGGCCCCTATCTCCCAGGTAGATATTGCTGTTTGTCACTTAGGAGACTGGGGAGAACAGAGTAGAGGAGGGGAAATAAAATGTATTTGAGAAACACAGGTGGTGGAAAGGAGAAGCCAGGGGACTTCCCTGCTGTGCTTATGCTAAGGTGTCTCCTGAATGGCTCATGTTCCGGGCTGCAGGACAGTGAAGTTGAAGAAGGGTTGGGCCATTCCAGAGGAAGAGAAAATCAGACACCCTTTAATTCACCTATGATAAACCCTGAGGTCTCCAGAGCCCTTTGTTATAAACAACTAAAATGTGAAATAACAATTTAACTGGGAATTGGTCCTGCTTTGAGCAGGGGGTTGGACTAGATGACCTTCTGGGGTCCCTTCCAACCCTGATATTCTATGATTCTATGATTCTATGAACAAAGGAGACCAACGAAACAGAGAAATTAAGGCTGTTTTCCCCTCCCTTGGGGCTCTCCCCTATCTCCACATCACCTTATTGAACAATTCTGATCCAACATTTTTTCATCAGAATTTGCCAGTTCATCAAAACCAAAATGTTCTGCGGAGATGGTTGATTTTGTTGCAGTCCTGACAGATTCCTGCCTTGTGTCCAGTCAGCACACCCACCCAGCTCCTCAGCAGGGCAGGCTGACAGGGAGCTGTGAGCCCTTGCTCCTCAGCAGTGTGGGTTTGCCGGGCATATGCCCCTGGGGCAACCTTCCAGGTGGACTGCCCCAGAGCCCAGCTCCACGGCCTTTGGCAGAGAATTTCAGAATATTTGGGTTGCATTTTGAATCCGAGTGAAACCAAATTTCGAAATACCAACATCCGTCATGAAATAGAATTAGCTTTCTCTGCCCTGCTCCGATTGTGACCTTACCACCTGATGGTGACAATGGAACAGATGGGCCCACAGCTCAAAGGCACCTGTAGAGGCTGAATACAGGGTCAGAGATGTTCAGGCCATCTAACTGGTGCTTTATAGGAGCCCTTCCAAGTGGACTGTAACTCTTGCCACATTTCCTGTTGCCCCAGATGCTCGGAACTGAGATTGAAAGCTTTCCCTTTGTTGCATATTGTTCTCTCAGGCCACGGAGAGCGACACCTCCCTCGATGACAGCAGGAGCAGTAGCTCAGAAGGCAGCTTGCAGACCACCCTGGAGGACAGCTTGAACCTTAGCGACTCACCCCAGTGCACCCTGGACCTCCCGATGGCACTGTGCCCGATGCCAACGGCTGCCAGCCAAAGAACCATGGCAGCTCCACTTTCCCCTGCCTCCCGGCGGCGGAACCTGCGGGGCCGCGGGATATTCAGCCTGCAGAGCATCAGGCGGCATCAGCGGAGCCACAGCAGCGGAGGGAGCACGAGCCCTGGGTGCACTCATCATGACTCCATGGACCCTTCTGACGAGGAGGGCGCGGGGAGCAGCCTGAGGGGTGGCAACAACAGCGAGCAGTCAGAGACCCTCAGCAGCCTCTCCCTGACATCCCTTTTCTCCCCACCCCCACCGCCCCCAGGCCGGGCGCTTGTGAAGAAGTGCAACAGCACAAGCAGCCTCACCGCCAACCCCTCTTCCCGAGGGCCCACCACCAACGAAGCCAAGCCGTTCTACTCGGTTGACCCCCGGGGGTTCCTCTCCATGCCCTCCTGGGTGACGGACTTCTGCAAGGACACCCCCTCACCGGGTGATGGTGAGGGGTCGGACAGCCCCGATAAACTGGGGGTGGCAGACCGCAGCTCCCCACTCCCTTCTGAGCTGGAGCTGGGCAATGGAGTCAGCAAGAGGAACAGATGAGGGTTAGGGAGGGGAGTGAGCAGCGTGGGCAAGGGCGCGCCTTGTGCTACCATTTCCCAGCAGCAATTCCAAAGGACTGTGGGAAAAAGAAACACGTAAACACAAGCTATAAATATATATATATATATATATAAATATGTATTTAGTAAATACTCTGGTACTGTACCTCCGAGGTGTGAGAGAGCGAAAGCAATATGGCAACATTCCCGCCCACGCGCTGGACGGGGAGCCCCACCGCAGAGACCACAGGGATGAGGAGGGCACCGGTGGGCTTGGAGGGACTGGGCCCACCAGCCAAACTCCTGCCCGGGTGGCAGCCATTTAGTTATATACATATACATAGAGAAAGAGATTGATTTATTTATTTTTTTTACTGAGCGATTATGACTTCCAGAAAGTGCTAAGCAGGGGAAAGGGTGGGGGGACTTGGGGACGTTCATTTTGAACAGGGAGGGAGAAAGGAGATGAGAACCCAAGGAGGGTTTGGTTGTTTTTGAGAATTTCATTCAGCATTCATACTTCCATTTTGAAAATGAATGATCCTGGGCTGGCTCCTCAGCCAGTGTAAATCGGCAGAGCTCCGTGGAGATCCGCAGCTGGAGTAAATCAGTATAGCTTTGGTTTCAGTGGAGAAATGCAAGTTGACCCCAACTGAAGATCAGGCCCAGACAGCAGGAAAACCCAAACAGAGGGGGAGCATTGGAAGTGATTTGTTACTTTGATGAGTGTGTGTGAACGCAGCAGGAATGCTCCGGGAAGGGAAGAGATGGAGGCAACATGGCACCTGCTGAATGTGTTCATTTAATGGTGTGATTTGTTTTATTTTATTTTATTTATTTATTTACTTATTTTGGTTTTGTCTTTTTATTTTATTCCAAAAAAAGAAAGAAAGAAAGCTGCTAAGAGAAGAAACTCAGATGTTCAGGGTCTGTTTCCCCACACCTTAGGTTTCTGTAATGGTGACAATTTTTATTTTAGAAGCCCAAAGGCGCAAAAACTGTCTATAGAGAATCAAATCTGTTATTTTTTATATATCTATATCCATGTGTACATGACAAGAAAAAAAAACTAGAATTAAAAAAAAAAGGCAATACAAAATGAGCCTCAGTCAGATATTAAGTGCAGTCAGTCCCCAGGCTCAGAGCTGGGGTTTGTGAACCAAACTCTCTTCCCAGTTCTACTGATGTGAATCCACAGTAATGCCACTGAAGTCAATGAGCCTCATTCTACTCTCACACCGGTGTGACTCTGTTGACATCAGCAGAGTTATCCCTGATTTAAGCATGATCAGAATCCAGCCCAATGGCAGTTGAGGGTGTGGAGGACTTCACAAGATCAGGCTCTGAGGGCAGAATTTGTGCGTGTGTGTGTGTCTGCAATATCATGTCTATTTGACTCCCTAGTGACAGTTTTGTGTGTGTGTTTCTCACCTTGTCTGTGTTTTGCAAAGGAGTGTGCACTCGTTGTGAGGTAGGCTGGTTGCATGGCTGGTTGCTGATTGGTGTCCATTGATTGTGTGGTATGAAGGCAGATTGGCCCCTGGTTCCAGAGGATCTGCTTCAGCATCAAGCTGAAAACAGGAGAATCTGATTCTCTTCCATAACTACTGCAGCAAGCCCACTGAGACTGTACCCCTGTTTGAGGCCCGCTGTGTGGTCAAGGTTTGCTTCACCATTTACCCTCTCTACTTGTGAGAGTCCATTTTTAAGAACTCACCTGTTTCGTATCCTTTCCAGATTTATGGATAGGACAGAGGACAAAAAAATGGCCTGAAGAGCTTGAAAAAAGTGGGATGCAATCCACAGGCTCACAGGGCTCTGACACGGGTATTTCTGAGAGCAAGAAAGAATGAGAGAAGGGATGAGGCAAAGAGATGGAAAGGAGCAGGGGGACAGAGAGAGGGAGGTTCAGAGGACATTGCTTCGTCATATTCAGAGGAAAGAATGAATTTCCCACATTGGTTCCTGCAGCAAACCCCTCTTGGAGGCACCTTCCCTGCTGGAATCAGAAGCACTGTGCTGCTTGGTACTATACAGATTTGCTCATCTGGTTTTTTAGCAGCTGCTTCACCCGATAAACTGGGGCTGTGAACACCAAACATGTCAAGTGTAACAAAACAAAACAAAAAAAAGGATAAATTAACTTATGTATTTGATTTATTTGTTGAGAGTAATCTATGCTTTGTGGAAAGTGCACAACTCTGACTGCAGGCATGCCAGGGAGGACAGGAAAGCCGGAGTCCCCACCCTGGCAGGAAGGCTGCTGGTCCAGATTAATTAAAGCAATAACAAGGGTTTTAAATGTTTTTTGCAGTGGTTGTTCCTTGGGTGGGTTCTTCTTGCACATTCAATCACTGGAGCAAAAGGAAAAAGAACCAGTATGGCTCTGTATTACCTGGGAAGGAAAATGGTCAAACCATAGTAGACAAAAGACTGAAATTGACTACTCTAGGTCCAATATTAGATCCAGGCATATTTTGAAATTGGAGACCTGGCTTTACACAACACAGACAGCCTACGCACAGTGTGTCTTCAGTTATTTCAATTGTGGCCTTAGAGGGAATGAGACAAGGAGCTGGGAATCTGAGCTGCCCTGGGAGCAGGATAGAGGGATAAGTATCTTGTCTGACCTAGAAATGGGAGAGGAAGCTGGGATGGGAGTGGTGCCAAATCTCCAATATATGGTCACGTCTGAAACAGGTTCTCCTATTGCCGTGTTAATGTCTGTTTATCAACATGGATGGAAGACAAGTCATGTTCCTGGTAAAGCTCAGCTATGCAATACCATCCCCATGCAGGCCCCAAGAGAAGGGGTGTCATTCTTTGATGTGGGGCTCCATTCCATGGGCCAGTGCTACTCCCAATTCACAGGTGGTACAAGGACCCATGACTGTAGAGATCCTAGGCCTTGCTACCTGTTAAGTGGCAGGTAATATTGATTTATAGTACAGCAGAGATCTACACTTTTTAAAACCAATCCCAGCTGCCTGGCACCACAATGTCCCATGCAAGGTTGGTGATAAAAAACAACGTTGGGAGGATGCTTGCTTGTGATGGTCAAGTGACCAAGAGGTGGTGTCAGTGTGAAATGTGTCCTTGTGCTGTCCCCTCTGGAACAGAGAAGGCCATTATGTGCTTGAGACGCTGTCACTTTCAGCAGGAGGTCAGGCTGGGAAATCTGATGTCTTTTTCCGTATGCAAGCAATATATTTCTGCAGCCAGCATGTAATGGTGGTGCTTCATCTATATTTTTGTATGCACACCTGCCTCCACTTCTAGGCCACCTTTTTATATCATTAAAAGGTATAGGTTTGACATCTGAGTTGGGACCTTTCAGAGTACTCCATTTGCACACAGTCTAGCCATGCCTGAGAAGTGGCGGATAGGGGTACTGCTTGCATTCTCACTGGCTCGCTTTTGAGGGGATCGCCTGGATACCCCATGAACCTAGTTAGTGTAAGGACCACAGGTAGATAAGATTAGATTGGGCTTGTATCACACAAAGGAGAGTGGGGAGAACAGCTGTTCTCCCGAAGCTCCTACCATTCCTTCCTCTGCCTCATAAGTATCCCCTGACTTGCTGAGACAAGCATATTCCAAGATTTGCCTAGTTCTGTCATGGTTAGGGTTCGATTCCTCCTGATGAGCCTGTTTAGGAACTACTGGGAGGTTGGAAAAAACAACCACTCAGTGAACCAGAAAGACATCCCCTCTCAGAATTCTTCCTAAGGCTAAGGGCCAGTTCTGCAGGAGAGGAGCACAGCCTTCATCAATGGCCCTAGTGGAGCCAAGTCACCAAATCCCCATATCTCTTGTTTCTATAGTTTTCCTTGGGCTCCCATCTATCTTTGACCTCCTGCCATTTTCCAGATCATGGCCATGTCTGTGATGGTGGGTTCCCTGTCACTTGGTCTTCAGTGAGATGGTGAGAGTGGCCCCCAAAAATGGTTGCTTTGTCTGCTTCTCCCCAGTCCCACTTAGAAGCAACTCACAAGGGAAAAGTTCCCTTATTTTTCTGGAAGCTCAAGTTCCCAGACAATTCTTCCCTTCTCTGCTGAGTCACATGGTCTCCCACACCTCTCCTACTGCGTGAATTGGCGAGGTCATGCTCATTCCCCTCCGCCTCATCAAATGGTTTGCACCCTTCACTATACTGCTCATGCAAAAGGCTTCTGGCTTAGGAAAGTGGTTACCATGGAAACAGAGGACTAGGTTATCTTTAGAGAATATTTTGTCTCTCTCTTTTAATTATTTACTAACGGTTTGAAGAAGAAGAAACATTGATTCTTCCCAGAGAGAGGGAGTTGTTAAAACACAGCAGAATTTGTTGTCTTTTCCACCAGGGATTTGTGTGCATTCATTTGGATCAGGGCCTGTTCTCCGTATTTGAGAGGGTTCCTTTGGCCTTGTTGGTTTAGTGTTTATGGGGAGCCCATTTTCCCAGGCTCTCTGGGATAGGGGAGTGGGGAAAGCAGAGCCCTCATTTCTGTGCTACTGTGGGAATTTCTGGGCTCTCAGAAGCTGTGGCGGGAGGGAGGAGGCCCGTGATGCGTGCACCCGAGTGACATGAAGGAGGCATCACATGAGCCAGAGGCACTATACAGAGAGGGTTGTCTGCACTCCAGTGTCACCGGTTGACAACAATTGCCATTATGTGGTGTCAGAGATGACTGTTGCTTTCCTCCATACTTGAACAGGAGCTACCTCCTGTAGCTCAGACACCACTGTGTGGTGACTTGCTAAAGGCTGATGTTTTAGGTGTGTCTGCACTGGGAGATGCGAGGGTGACTCTGAGCTCAAGGAGCGATATACATGCACTCGCTCGGCTCCTGCCAGCACACTAAAACTGGAATGTAGCTGCGGCAGGGTGAGCGGCGGGGGCAGGGGTCGGCTGCCCTGCGTGTGTGCCTGTCAGAGATCCTAGGTGTGTACTCGGGGTGGCTAGTCCATCCCACCACTCATGCTGGTGCGACTACATTCTATTTCTAGCATGCTAGCACAAAGAGCTTGCTTGAGCTGGGAATCACCCTCCCAGCCCCAAGTGTAGACATACCCTTTGTGGTGATTGCTGTTCTTCCCAGCTCTACTGAAAGGTTGCCACACAAAGGGGAGGCGTGGTGGCCAAAAAGCCATGGAGGATATTTGAATTAACATACACAAAGATGCAAAAGCCAAAGCTGGGGCATCGGGGGCGCAAAACTGGATCTGGAACAAGCATAAGGGTTCTGTACAGACCCATGTACTATGCACGTGGTGTCACATATTCCTTCCAGCTTTACAGTCTTAGAATTACAGCAGTAAGAGATGCCAAAGGCCTCTCTGATCATCCACTCCATCTCCCAGCCGGCACAGGATTATTCCCTATGAGACAATTACTAGGATTTTGTCCAGTCTGTTTTTCAACGTCCCCTAGTCCTGAGGCTTTCCCTACCTCCCACAGGAAACTATCCCATAGCCTGCTACCATCAGGAAGGGCTTCCCAACATTCAGCTTCAGCTTGACCTTTTCTTTATTTCATCCCATTGTCATTAGTTACACTCCCTCCCCTACCTACCACCATAAATAATTCATCTTCCTACTTGATGTTTAGAGTGTTGAAATACTTGTAGACTGTTACTATGTCCCTCTTAAGCCGTTGCTTAGCCAAACTAGATGTATTTAGCTGTTTTAATCTTTCCTTGCCAGCCAGTTCCTCTGGCTCTTTGATCATTTTTTGAGGAGTTTTCTTTATAAATCCTTTCCTCTCTCTCCTGACTTGAATCCTCCATACCTGTGTTCTGTGGGTATTATCCCAGGCACAGGGCAAAGCCCAGGCTGTCAGCCTGAGTGCTAGCTGGCCTCCTCTATGCAGGGAACCCTCTCCTCACCCACTCCAACCTGGGAATGGAGAAAGGCAGAAGTACTTATCATTTCCTCCATGCAGAGGAATGGATCCTCTTTCAGCACTGCTGCTTGACACAGCGACCTGCCATATTCGCCCCCCCTCCAGATGCCTCTCTCCCCTAAATAAAAACCAGGTAGGCAGTGGCTACTTTGCCTGCCCTGCACCCACTACCACTAGTTTCATTATGAACTATGAAGAGAAGTTAAGACTCATGGGACAGCAGTGACCAGGATCACCCTTTTATGGAAAATCTGCACCATAGTGCACTTGTTTTCCCTCCAGTTTTCTGCCCAAGTCTCAATGATTTTTTTTTTAAATTATCATACTTAAGTTGTTAGCTAATTTTTAAGTTTATCAGCTAATTACTTAAATACTATGGGTCCTACTCCTTTGAGGTGCTGATTGCCATAAATTCCCTCTTAAGTCAATGGGTGTTGACTTTTCTGTCCATGGGAAATTGGGTTTTTGATCAAAAGAAATTTCAACTTTTCATCAAAAACCCAAATGCCTGAAAACTGAACTTTTCTGGGATGCGGCCAAAAAACAAAATATTTCAGGCAAAAACTGATATATTTCTATTCTGAAATGCCACTGTGGTGTCTCATGGGAATTGTGTCTCAGGGACCTCCTGCTCCCAGTTGCTTCTGTGCATCACCTCCCCAGCAGGAGTTCATCTCCCATGAGCCATAGCAGCCCCTCATCAAGAGAGGAGGCCATGATGCATCATGGGTGATATATTCCAATTAGGGATCCCAGGCTATAGAGGTGAAAGGGAGAATGAGGCATCCAAACTACAAATCCCATAAGGCACCACATCAGCATTTCAGAATCAAAATATTTCAGGTTTTTGACAAAATATTTCAGATTTAGATGTTTTACCAAAAATACAACATTTTCTGAGGAAAAATGTCAATGAAAACCAAATTATTTTTTACTTTTTTTTCAAAGTTTTCCACAGGAAGAAAACCTCCATTTTCCAGTTCAAGGTGTAGAAAAGTGCTTAGCATTTTGCACTGGCAGTCCCCTTGGATGCATGCCATCCAGCTCAGAGGATTTGCATATGTTCAGATATTCCAGATATGCCCTTCCCCAGTCTTTATTAATAGATGTTTTACAGGATCTGCCTTACTTCTCAATTGTTCAACATTATTTATGTTTCTGACTAGAGACAGGTTTCAGATTGGAACTTGGCATCTCAGCCATTTGTGAATTATCATTAATTTCCTTCATCTCATTTATTAATGAACTAGTTCTTCTCTAGCACTTTTCCTTCCCCATTGCTAAAAGCCTTTCTTATTCCTCCTAAGATGCAGCTATGGTCTGAAAAATGATTGTAAAATATAGCATTGTAGGGGTTTGTGTTTATTGCCTTCAAATTGCTTCCAGATCCGAAGTGCTCAGTTTACAGGTAAAATTATGCTT